TTTTTGTGATGTCGGATTTGCACTTTTTCTTTTATGTATAATAATGATATAATGATACGATAATCGTATAAATAAAAACGGCTGGGTCATCAAGCTGTATGCAAATTTGTACACATTGGTCACTCTATGATGTACAGGTGCGCGTTTTCACGATTCTGCTTTGTAATGGCGTGATTCTGATTGTATCCGTTCGTCGTTCGTGTGAACGACTGTCAGCTGACACCAATTAGAAAACCAATAGACCAGTAATACTTGGTAGTTATCTAAACATGTTATATAGCTTGTGAGCTTCATTTGAATACATTTCGTGTACCTATACTTTGTTTCATCATGAATATACGTGTTGATCTATTGTAATAGAGCTAATGAATGAAAATCCATCCATGGAGATTTCATTTAATCCCGAACCTATCTTCGTAAATAAGCCTAACTTCAAATGGGGCCATTTAGGAAACACATTGGATTATTAATAATAATACCAAAAGTCAAAATTCAGTTAATGATAATACAAGAATCTCTTATTATAATGATCCCCCGAAGCTGCGTCAGGCATCCATTGCTGGTCATTTCTATAATCATTAAGTCTTATTCAAAGCTTAAAACACGAGAGTAATTAAATCATACCTTTCAATTACTTGTTTAAATGGCATGTCAAAGGAAATAATGACTATGAGTAGACGTAAAATGACAATGGTTTAATTGGTAATGGGAGATGAAATAAGATCTTGGCGTAATGAGCTCGCGACTGTGATGCAATTAGGGGCCCAATTCTAATTATTGATCAATGGTTAACACCTCATCCGATCAACAGGTACGTAATATGCTGTCCGGAACCGGAACTTTTTCTTTACATCGTGTACCAATTAAAGAACGGTTCAAGAATTAATTAATGAAGGCAAGGAGTTGCGTGAAATCACACTTCTTTCCCATCATTAATTTATTTTTATCACATAATTGTATTACCTGTAACGTGGTATTGTGTGCATAGTTACAGAGATGACGTGAACGATTCATTCCTACCCTTTTGGGCTGGTAGGCATTTCACACGCATTTTATTTCGAGTTATTTTGAAAATATTTCGTTATTTCAAGTTATTTTGAAAATATTTCGTTCGATAATGAGAATAATCCGCAATCCATTTTTTGGAGCCAGTGTTATATCATTTATTTATTTGTTACACCTTTAAAACGGTGGCACACCAATACGGGGTACTCTTACAAAAATGTACATAAAATCCAAAACATATTCATTACATAAGTAGGATTCTATAAATGAAAATGATATAAATAGAAACTATAAAACGAAAAATGAAAAAATAATACGGTTTGCATGTGTTTCTTCCATTACTCTTTCTCATCATGTCAGATAAATGCAAAGTCCGTAATCCGTGGTAATATCAGTCCACCCTCAACACAATGGAGTGGTAGAACGATACAACGCATTTTGACACTGTGGCAATGGTCTTTCCAAATGAATGAATCCAACAATTCCATCTTTAATTTTGCTCTCATAATGTTTCATCAAACAAAAAGTCATTAGTCTTTGGAAATAAGTTGACATAGCATTATATATTTACATATATCCGGTCTTTATTGGAAGTTCCATTTTCAATTCTTCTTAAACGTTTGGAAAACGACCATCGTGGAATCCACTACTCTTAATTGGCTCTGATTCTTTCATCAACAGTCCAAGATCCAGACGCGGGAAGGCACTCTATACGGGTGCTTTTAGCCATTGTGGAAGTGTCTCTGATAAAAAAATATATGGAAATGTGTACATCAATTGTCATGGTTAAAACAGTTATTTTGTTTTAAGTCTTTGTACTGTTTTCAACTTGTTTATCAACTTTGAAATATAATTTTGAAGAAATGTGGTTTCTGGGATGTCATCTCAGATGGAATGGCGAGAAACAACGTCTAGGTTTTGTGAAACTGAAACGGGAGGGGTGGAGAGGGAGAGCATTGACCTAGTCGTATCTCAAACCTTTAAGAAAAAACATGTTTAGTATTAGACAACCTGAACGAGCTCCTAGGTGTGATTAGGTTTACTTGAAGTTGTTTTGAATATCCGAGTACCAAATGTCACTATTCGACCACCGGGACCAGGTATGTCATATTTATCTGTCAATCATGCTGCAATCAAATCCAGTATCCATATTACTTTTGATTACGTAACGTGAACACACAATCACGGTCTGTAATTAAGTATTTTCGTATGCGTTATATCTTTTTACAATCCATTATATACATATAAGTGGTAAGCTTATACTGAAAGGTGCCCGAATGGCTGATGGCATGTGGAGCTCTCAGTTGGTTTACTCACTGCATCAATTGGTCAATCAAAACACATGATTTTTATTGCTAAAAACGAGTTTTGGTATTTAACTACAAGTTGTTGTATTTTAGAATTGTGTCATATTTGGCATGTACGCTGATATTTTACATATCCATCATTATATTTAAATTCATTAGAATTATGCTATATAATAAATGAAATCATACGTTTTGTCTGGCACATTATGGTTAGTGTGAGTTATTGCATGATGGCCGTTTATTATAGTGTCTTGCGCCAGAAAGTCTGGCAAACACAATACAGCATTAGTTAAGATATCTCAACTTTCATCATTTATTCGCACCATATAGTTATTTTTGAAACGTTGTCATTCAAGTTTTAACTATTCGCGTGGTGCAATGATTTAAAGGGGATTTAAATATAAAATTAAAGCTATATTTCTATTTTTGTTTTTTCAAATGTAATGGCGCTTTTCATTTTTCATTCATTTCATTTTTATATCTTTGGCAAAACTAAGAATGCGAACTATCTAGAGTAAACTCAAGGTTTGACACAACAAGGGCAATCCCCAGGGCAATCATTGGCTTTGTTTATATGGATACGCTTTGCATCCGTTCGACTTCGCTTCTCAATTTCGTACATGCAAGGACCTCCTTGGTCAATGACTAGACTCTGGGTGCAGGGTAGATTTTGAATATGTTTTATAATAACATGGCACCCAGCTTGGTCATCTTGATTCACAGGGTTTCAGTTGCTCTACCATGAGAGATCGAGGTTTTATATCCCCTCATATGACAAAAGTCAATGCATTTATTGAGGATATATTGGGTCGGGATCAATGCAAAGAATATTTTCACTTTTGACCCACTAAAATTGAATAATTTGAAAGACAACGATGCTTTTAGGATGTGTTAACATTTTGCATTGAATTTATTTTATATAGTCCCCTCAACATCGTTTTAAATTTTCGCTCATTCCCAGCCCATGTGAACAGGTACTATTGAAATCCTTTTCAAACTCCACCACAACAATTTCAAACAAAAATAGTTTTTAATTTGAATAGACGATCGCATGATTGTTAAGTAGTGTACTGTCATCAATCCTAATTCATACCAAATATTTGTTTAGCCGCATACACTTAACCATGCCTATTAAAGCATGTAATGACGCCTTTTGAAATAATGAACTGTGCCTAATACACTGTGAGTTGTTGCTAAGTTGTTCTTTTTATTATGATAATTGTGTGTTTCTAGTACTTATCTTCTTTTGAAATGTTTTGAATTGACACAAAGTAAAAGACTCAATGGTGGTTTAGTATGTTGAATTGAGAAAACTAGATGGAGATGATGCTCTATTTCGTTTTTAACATCTTCTCGAAGAGATTTTAGACCCCTGTGATGTATTTTCGTTCAAGGTACTTCCTCGGCAAGCCAACATCATATGACTACATAAACCCCTGGGATGAGGTACATGTAGTCCCAGTTCAACAAATCACTGGTTAAGATGGACATTGCCTACCTTGTAAACAAGATCAAAAGTATATTAAATATTTTAGTGCAAACACTCTTTGGGGGTTGCGTGTGCCGTGATCATGTTCCTGCGTGGTTCTCATGTCTTTCCCACAGGTCTTACTGTGAATGCGACTTATCTCATTACACTTACATTGTTTTTGATTATAAACTTATAAACATACATAAGAAAACATTAGTGTAAGTATACAAAATGAGCCTAATTTACAGTTACTTATGAAAAGTTAATCTTTTTGAAATGCTTTTGACCGTATGATCGTATTATTTCATTTGTGGTACACCAACGCTGTTATTAATTGATTAAAATGACGAATTAATTTATAGAGATTGATGGCGACAATTTATTCCAAGTCAGATTATTTACTTTCGGATTCCTAACATTTTCGAGAATGCAACTTACCAGGAAAATAAAACTAAATGAAGCATTATATAAAACGTAATCTATTGTATGTATGTATATCTTTATTGCCCTTTATGAAAAGGAGATACATTTTTAAATTTTGCTTTTAAGTTTTCAATCTTGAGTTATTGTGTAATAAGATCACTGTTGTACCATTTGATTTTCTTCAAGTCCTAACCTGAAGACGAAGCTCTCTTTCAAGAAACGAAGTTGAACGAATGCAAATGCTATTTAAGTCCATGATCCTACTGACTTTTTAGTCCTTTTGAAATACGATGATGGATCCAGATCGGACCAAACCCAGGATGGGAGGGGGTGGATTCGTTTTTATGGAGAAAATTATACAGTGCTTTCTCTAAGTGGCTTTTTGTCTTAATTTTCTTATTCTTAGTGTTATTATCCTGTATCAGCGAAACAAAGATGGACTTGGTATTTTAGATAATGCAGGCAAATTGATGTTTTTTCTTTTTATTATCTATAATCTCGTTCGTCATATTGCATATTATGCTATTTTAATATCTTGACAAGATTGAATGCGACTTGGATAGGTTTTAACGCAACACTAAGTATCCCATCTGATAGGTAAATTAGAGAGCTCCAACCCGTTAATTAATAGGTATAGATATGTCTAAGTAGCGGACCTAATCATCGTCGCATTGAACCAATGGAAAGGCAGCATTGGACCAATGGAAAGGCAGCAATTGTAAATATCATTTGAGATGTGATCGGGTAGGAGGAGCTTGACAGTAATTCCTTTCACCTTACTACTTAATAGCGATACAATCACGATGTGAAGCAAATTGCCGGTTTATTGCATCAAGGCTTGAAATTCACGGCGAAATTTGGTCAAGATTATTATCAGAGGTATGGGTTCGGCGCCTATATCACCTCTGAGTATTTTTTGATCGTTTTCCACAAATAATTTCCTTTGACAGTTAGCATTATCGCATTGAGAGTCGCGACAAGCTGGGTTACGTGCACTACCCTTTCAACAGGATTACACGTTCGCATACATGCATCATACTTTAAAACATTATTATTTTGACAGCATTCAACAGCTTAGAAAGGCAACTTGGTAAACGTGAATGACGGGTAGCAATTTGCCAAAACCACGCATCATAAATTAGCAGACAGTGAAGAGGTGGGAGACAGTAACCAATTTGAAACAATTGCAACGAGATCTACCAAAGTATCCGTTTATAAGGAAATAAAATATGACACACTGAAACTATTTAGTGCCATATTAATTTGGACAATATATCAGTTCTCCAAATATATGAGGATGGAAGAGAACCAAAAGAGAGAGCACATCCACTCATCGTTCAGCATCAATAGCATTCTTAGCAAACCAAACAAGAAGAAGCCAGATGATGATAAAACACCAGAGAGAAGGCGATCTACTTCACCAAAATATCCAAACGAAACTCAACATGCGCCAAAGGCTTCCGATAGCGACAGCACTATTGAAAATGACGCTAAATCTGCACCAAGTACAGAAGAGACAAATCCGATTGTATTTAATAGCCAATATGGGCCCCCTGTCACACATCCCGGGTTCACCCACCTAATGGACCCGCGGACAGTTCTAGCCAGGAACCCATGGTACCCGTTCTTTGCCGTGCCACCCTATCCGGTCCCCCTCCCTGCACATCGTAAGTATATTTTTAAGTTGCATTTTCACACGGAGAACCTTCTGTAATAAAACTTAAAACGTAAAAAGTCAAAATACATTGAAATTGAAGAATATAAGAATTTTAAGCGAAGTTATTAGTTGCTTTAACATTTTTATATAACTATTTCAAATGACAATATGGTTAACAGTTTTGTTTGTTTCGAATATTTTTACGAATGTACACAATATCTGATTACAGCTCATTGCAATACACAAACGACAACAGATATTATAACCCCCTGTCGATGATATGTCAAAATGTTGGTTTCCATGATCCAAATTTTCAACCAAAATCCCATTGAGCTTTATTAAAAATCTTTGTTTAGTACTGAATAACATTTTCTACATTTGAATTCACTTTAATTATATCAAATGATTTTTTCTTGTATCAACTATTATTGTCATTTTAATTGGAATAAAGTTTTAGCAAGTATAGATTTACTTGATTGAGATTTACTATATATTTAGAATTACTGGATAGAGCGTGTTATTATTGTATTTGTAATAATGTTAATTCCACTGTGGGTGTCCCAGACAAAAGTCTGGCGAAGATAATTAATTTGACAATAACTTATAATCAGTATTTTAATGGTCTCACAACGCTCATTTTGTTATCTTATTAAAGTCTAAATGATAAAACATAATATACGAAATATTTTATTGAATTTAATAAGTGCATAATTTAAGTAGCTTCATCAGTTTTACATTACACTCTTTCATTGTATTCTTAATCAACACTTTAAGATATAATTTATCAAAATATTTTATGCGAAAGTAAATAGCCTTCTGAAAGAGCAGTATGCGGAAAAATAAGTTAAAATCACCACATGTTTTCAAACCTAACTATTTCGAAACAAACAACGGGAGTTCAACGTATATCTCTCTAACGTAGTTAAAAACATTCACAACGATTCGACAACAAAATGATTTCAAAACAATTGTTCATTTGCTTTCAGAACATGTCCCCACATCGGTGCAGAGCCTTCCAGCGTCTCCTTTACGTATTCCCACCATCCCCTCATCGATATCCCCGAACAACAAATCGGAGCTGATGGTTAAGGAGAGATTAAGTCCGGGAAACAGTAGACTTTCGCCTGCTTTGTCAGACGACGCTAGCATTGATGACGCGGATGATAAAGACAGTGACATTGAGATGAATGATCACACAGACAATCCCGATAGATCCAAAATGGCTCGCAAAAAGAAAACTCGGACAGTTTTTTCAAGAAGTCAGGTTTTCAGATTAGAATCCACATTCGACATGAAACGCTATCTGTCAAGTTCAGAGCGAGCGGCACTGGCTGCCTCACTTCATCTTACAGAGACACAGGTCAAAATCTGGTTCCAGAACAGAAGAAATAAGTGGAAAAAACTTTTGGCGCAAGAGCTTGAAACTCATAGCTCTGCACACAATACAGGACTGTCACTATCCACGCTCCAACAGAGACTTGTTAAAGTACCAGTTCTTTACCACGAAGGAGGATCGCAGATGACGACGAGCTCAGAGGGGGTACTTACACAGAGTCCCCTGATGACGACATTTCCAAGTATGTACGGGTTGTCTTCTGTGTACCCCAATCTGAGACCGACATTGCCGAATATAAGTCACTAACCATGGTTCAATTTCTCCAAATTTTGTAAACTTACGGATCCGCAAATCAATTATTCTTTGCCAGTTCAACAACATACAGAAGTTGATTGACGGGTCCGTGAATTTTAACTTTTTGAGATGCGCATGTAATAATTTCTTTGTTAAGTAATTCAGATGATATGTCATTGTAAATAGTCATGGTATTTAGATATTATATTGTGGTGCTATATTGTAATTGCAATTATTATGAAATTACAGGGTGATCCAGTAATAAGTGTCATACTTACGATAAATTTCAAAGCAAATAGGCTTCCTAAAATTAAAATTTAGAACTATTAAAAGGTGACTACCTGTAATATAAAACGGGACAGCAAAGCATGTTTAGATTGATTGAGATTTCTCTTCCAAAGATTGACCAAACTTTCCTAAATACCCAGTGTAGAAATGTTAACTATTTATTGAGATGCGACTGGAATATTATTTTGTGGAATAAGGAAACCGACATTTTGTGGAATAAGGGGAGTTGCAATACAGTTAGAGGTTGTAAAACAATTCACAATGTGAAGAATTAAGATTTCTGTTATCCCAGAGATCACCGTTAATCAAGGGCATAGATTGAATTATTTTCTAAAAAGCATGCCAATGTATTGTGTCAATTTAAAGCCCTTTAAGGAAGAACCTTTAAATGAGAGTGTATGTAGACAATCAACTTATACGGTAATGAGTAAATACCAATTTTCAATGTAATACGCGATCTGGCCAAATTATATGAGATGGCCGTCGGTTTTTACAAATTCACATTTTCTTTGCTCTCTAAGATTAAAGTCTCAACATTTTCAAGCAAGACTCGACAAAAGTAGGTTTTGTACTACTAGTGTTATAGAATATAAAAGGTTTGGTTATTGCCTGGGCCATTTATCAGTAATTTTCTGTTCAGCTAATGATGTATTCTAGTATTCATGTTTCCACAAATGCAGAAGAAATGTATTTGTTTTTCCATCTCATTTTAGATTTTGTATCCACACAAAACTGAGAGAACAGATCTTGAAAGTTTTAATTTTTGGATATTGTGAATGAACAAACTTTTTATTTTTCAAATTTTCATTACATATACCAACAAAAAAGTAATTTTTGGATAATATTGGATACATATGAAATATTTCGTGCCATCCTGTTTGAGATGTATACATTTCCTCCGCTTTTTTTAACAACAATTCAAAGTTCACAGAAATTCTGAGATTTTTCCGAAACAATATTAAGATTTGAAGGTGTATTCGGGAACGCAGTAACCATGAAATATTAAAGTTTTCCTCTTACCTGACTAAAAGAACGTGTTAATTACTCGTACACTTCCCTCCAAAAGTTTGGTAACTCTGGCTCCATTACGTATTAAACCCTGATTATATTTGCACTTTTAACTCGACTACATTAGGTAGGATTTATAACAAGGATGACAAGACGCAACAAATCGGCTTCAAAGATCTATGTGCAGTATGGCAAGTAATTTTAAACGGTCATATCTTTCAACATGAGTACTTTCTGGGCGTGAATACAGCGGTTTTTATTAAAACAATATGTTTTCTTTCAAGTGAAGTCCCCATGATGATAAAAATATCAATCGAACAATTCGAAAAAGTATGAAAATGGACCCCATGTTAACAATTTTTTCAAAATATTAAACCTAGTTACTCATAAGAGGATCCTCTTTTTCTGATTTTTATTGCATGAAAAGATTAATCAACAAGGGGTCTAAAAATCCTTCAAAAGTAGAATGGTAGAAAGTCTAGTTTTGAAGATATCAATTTTCCATGATCAAAATTATGCTGAAAACAATGGATAGCATGGGAAAATAACATGGGATATGTGGTTTTTAACGTTATAGCATTTCAATACCCACCCCCTTACCAGAAGTTATTGATATAGTGTAGAAGAACTTTTGATATGTTTAAATTAAGAAAAACAAGATCCTCCTTAGAAGCCTGACATTTTTAAAAAAGTGACAAGATGGGGTCCCAATCCATAATTTTTCAGAGAGTTGGATTGATATTTGCTATCATGGAGACTTCTCTTCAAAAAAAATTAATGTTTTACCTCTGTATTTATGGCCAGTGAAAGTACTCATGCTGAAAGATATGACCATTTAAAATCACTTGCCATACCGCACATGGACCTTTGGTTCAATATTGGGGACTGGACGTTTCCAAACCCTTTGGAGCGGAGTGTATTCGATTGTCTCTGTACTATATGTTGACTATTGTTGGCTTTTGTATATATAAATATGGATGTGCTGCAATTATTCTGGTGATCAAATACACAAAAATAATTTATTTCACCTAGTTTGTCTGATTATGTCTCTAAAATCTCAGCTGGTATACATAGCCAATGCTTACATAGTATTTGCATTAATATTGATTGAATATTAACAGAACGTTTTTAGAGTCTTTAGAGGACTCTGGTGGATAGTAAAGTTCTGAAAACGAAACAAGCCGTTAAAGAAAAGCAGAAATGGCAAGCCGGTGTAAAAGAAATTATGGTCCCCTGGGGATTATGGTCCCCTTTCCTTACGGCCCTTACTGGCCCCGACTGAAAGGTCTGTGAAAATATTTTGTCTAAAACTCCAATCATTAGAACTTTTAGCATTTTTCAAATTATTAACATTATCTAAATCAATATTCACATTTTGTGATATTTTTACTGTCTCTGAACAAATGAAATATTCATGTGCAATAGTTATAGTTAAAAATATGCTAATTTTTGTAAAGTGATCAATGTATCATGATCAGACTTCATACAAGTCGCATGTACTTTGCAACGCTCTCTGCGCCAGCGCACATTTTTATTCCAGTATTATATTTCATTGTGTAAGCTGTAGCACAGGATTTTACATGAAGCTACATATCATATTTAAATGTAGCTTAAAGATCGAATTAAAGATAGCCAGCAACTTTTCCAAAAATTCTCAAATTCAGCGTTGTCCTCACTCTATGTCTGTTTTCTAAATATTTATCTGAAAATGTACCACAAGGGAGGATAGAAGGACAGAGTCCATTAGATTGTAGTCATTCAGAGTGTATCTTAAATCTCAAACAAATAACCTCATTATTCCATAATTTGAAATGGCGAAGAACACATCGGTTGATCAATTGTTAATGTCGGTTAACATGCGGTTTTGTCAACACAGTTATTGCTTTTTAGCTTTAACCTAAAATTTAGATTTGATTTGTGATCGGGGTTAAGATATTGACTTCATACACTAGATCTAGCCAAGATTTATTGTAAATCTATTGAATCACACAAGTGGGCAATTTCGCTTGTCGCCAGGATATGTCAGGATGACGACATCTTTCATTGCGTTATGATGGTCCGATTGAAAAGTTAAGTAAATGCTAAGCTCTGGTGAAGAAATGACTTGATTGCTATAAACGTTGATCCTGTTGCAAGGTAAAGTGATTGAGTCACACGAGCCTTATCGCCTAACCTATCGATATTGCTAGATCAATTGCCCGTAAAATGTCGCCATTCAAGATTAGTGGCCAAATGCCATTACATTGCGTTCCCAAAATAAGTCAATCCTAATTCAGTCAATTGTTTGAAATTGCTAAACTTGTGGAAAGTAATAAAGCTAAGAGATAATCCGCCTGTCATTTTTAAATGCACTTCAAACTCATAAGGACAAAACGCATTTCGATTATTTGTGAGATTTAGATATTTTCTGACGGTTTGTCAAAGAAGACAATATAACGAGCACAACTGAGAGTTTTGGTGAATTACTTGGAAAAAATTACCATACCTGTATAAACGAACCCCATAAATCTGGGGTTAATTTGCGTTTAGTCACTGTTGTATGTCAAAACTAAGGAAAAACAAATCAACCTCACATTTATGGGGGTAGTATGACAGTATGAACCAATAGTAAAATGCAACGATATTCGTTCCAAGTTTCAAAATAATCTCAATTAATTTTATTTGACAAACAGGGTTTTTCACAAATTCTTAGATCTGCTCATCAAACAAAGACGTTTTTGGAATATTATTGAAATAACAAAGAAACCGAAAACCGTTTTGGTTTAGAATTAGGAGAATCATGAACGTAAATCAATGAAACGGATCAAGAACGACCCTCGCGTTTGGTTTCATACGAAGAGGGGAACATTCAAACTTCTCCATTTTAATTATAGTTACAAAGGTTACAAAATGATCGATCACCAGTGGAGTGAAATTCTTATTCTCTCATCCTCACCCATTTACGTATTGATGCAGGAAAACCTAAATATGGGTTTCAATAACCCTATATATCAATATGGTATTCCCGGCCGGGGAAGGTATTTGAGGGCAGAATGGGCGTGGTACATGATCATTTCAATTGTTGCACATATTATGCTGAGTTGATAAAACTCCCGATGGTCTGTTTCCGAACGTATAGTCGGTCGTACCGTTGCTCGTATTCTATTGTTCTATTGGAACTAGTCGTATGGCAGTGGTAAACACGTTTCCAAACTCACATTCGTATCGTAAAGGATACGACTGAAGGTCAATTTTAATTCTACGACTTGTCATGGGGTGTCGTATAGGCTATCAAGAATCGTATAGTGACGCGAGGGGTATTTCTCTCGGGAAAAGTGATGTTACACAATGTCATTCCAGATCCCCCAAGAAGAAACTCTCTAAAACCAGGAAAAGAGTTAATAGCAACAATGCATTAGAATACCATACACGGCACAAGAGTCCAAGAACTAAAAACGCCACATGCAATTTATCACAAAGATGTAGTGGCTCCCTATAAGTTACATAAAGATGACTTCATTGGCTGTCAATGATTGAAACCATAACCCTAGTTCAATCATGGTAGTAGATATACTGCCTCAAGACACAGCCAATCCTACAGAAGCGCAATGTCTCAAATATCCTGAAAAATAATCAGAGCCGCCCTACCTAACATCCCCCATGCTGACATCTACATAGTATTTACCCTGTTTTGAGACAGGTGGTGTTATATGCAATCCAGGAAGAGTTGGTAAATGTATACATTACAATGGTCCTTTTTCCATATAGCTTTGAAATCTCGTTAAAGTCTTGTTTTTAATGAGATTTTAGGAGATCTGCATTTTAACGAACATATTTGAATTCTGTGTGTTATTTTCTATCAAAACAACTTTGATTTACAGCATTATTTACCTTTATTCAAATTCTAATGATTTTCTAGTTGTTTAAAAAATATCGGGCTAAATCCCCATTGACACAATGCTGAAAAACCTTTAAAAGTTCATTTACTCCAACCGAAGGATCACGATTTTATTATGAAATCACAATCCACATGTCAATAAGATCATATAGTTATATTCCAATGGTGTATTACATTAAGTTGATCCAAATGGAATTACTTGTTAAATCAAGAAATTAAGTGACTCTGGCAATACATAAATGCATGTATTCTAGCCCTACCCTAGCCCTACCAATACCCATGATGCCATCTATTTTCCATTTATATGGAAAAAGATCAATTGTATATGTCATGATAAAGACCATCTTGATTCACAAGGTTTCGATTGTTGAAACCTCTCTAGACCAAGTGGAAAGCGACGATGGATAAAGACGGGTGTCATGAAATGATACAATTGGGAAGATGATTTAAACCATTGATTTTCGAAAATTATTGAAGTCTGAGTGGGCATTTTGATAAAAACCCATTAGCCCAGGAAGGAGGACAAAATAGAGGAGTGAAACGTCCTTGGTTGTGGTTTTGTCTCATCTATTTGATTTTGCCTCGTCTGCTTTGGGGCTTACTATGCCCTGATGACCGGCGTAAATCAGCTGAATTTAAAATATGAAATAGACATGGCATTTTCATTTTCAGACATTATTTCAAATATTGATGCAGGTCAGTCATTGAGTCTTGTATGCTTGAACCATGAGAAAGATTTGATACTTTGTTAATACAGTAAAACCTGTCTTATTGAGACACAATTTTGGACTGGTCGAAAGTGCTCACATCGACGTACTATAATAGTATTCACATTTCGACTTTTTTACATGAAAGGCTACGGCAGATTAAAACATGGGACCGAGAGAGAGGTGTTCGGCTTAGATGTGTTCGGGTTTCACGCCCGTTTCACGCTGTACTGCATGCTGTACCAAGTAAGGGCGAGGGCAATAGGGACTCTGTCAATAAATATTAATCAAAGACAAATGAATTGTACGTGTACTTTATCAATTTTAAACTTGCCATTTTGTGAGAAAGTAAATTCAATGTCAAAATCTGACAATATCTTCATCTTAGTTACGTTTATCTTTTCATACCAATCAGTAACATTAAATTGATCACACAAACTGAACTCGTGAATCAACAAGAATGAAAAAGATAAGATAGAGATGCGAAGTATCTTCAACTGAACTTCATTATATCCTTCCATCTATTTGTATGTTTCGACAATAAATTGAATATTGGAGGACTGATTTGGTTTAGTAACGTTCTTATTACATATTCTTAAACTCATTTGTGGACGGTGTTCGGTGGTTGGCGGTAGGTGTTCAGCGTCCAGCTGTCGGCGTCTGCAACAAATGGCATGTAGTAACATTTTGCATGTCAATACCTTGTTTTTAATTTCTAATATTATAACTTTTACGTTTTTTGAAAAAGATCTTGCTAAATTGTAAATCCTCATTCAGTGATACAATATAGCCTAGTGTGTAAAATATGATTTACTATTTTTGGGATACGCAGTTGTAAGGTTAAATCAAAATTTTCATGTCAGCAAAAGCATGTTGTTACACGCACATGTTTTATAATACAAGTATAATACTTGTATAATCCCATTTGATTTGATTTTAAGTGATTGGCCAATAAACCACTACTGCCATCTTTTAACTATCTATATAATTTTGCCAGTTTCTTCATATTGCCCCAAGGCCGTCATATTGCCTAAATAAACACAGATTGACTGCCCTGACCTCTTTATTTAAGAATTATTTCTATCGCCCTTTAATAGCCTTTGGAAGTATTAATGAGGGGCATGTGAATGAAACTCATACTGTTAAACTATTGTATTCCTTCAGACATATAACTTGATTGATCAAGATGGATGAAACTATAAACACATGAGATTGTGCTGCTGCATCATTCCAACGTGATTTTGCAACTTCCCAAGATTTGACAGATTCTCACTGGCCATTTGACAATATCCTGGATTAAGAGATACCATAGAAACAATAGCAGATCGAGGCAACATGGTTCTGGTGAAATACACTTTCCATGTGTAGCATGCAAAATGTCACCACCTGACATTTGTTAGAGACACTGAACGCCAACCACCAAACACTGATTGCCAAAAGCCATCCACAAAAAAGTTGGAGACTACAGTATAACAATATGTCAACACATCTGGTGGTGACATAAGAGGTATTTAAAGTAAAAAGATATTGAATAAACTAATAAGGCATTACACCACATTAACAGGACAAAATATGTCAGCACCTGGTTGTAACACATGTTACAGATTTGACAACAGTAACCTTGGTAACAAGAGTGGTTACAAGAATATATCAATGATGACATGATATAACAAGAACTTCAAATTTCTAATTTTAATTTTCTATATTATTGCTTTCTTTATAATACATGTGTGATTTATGTGTATATGTAACTACAAATGTATAGTGTAAAACTAATAAATAGTGTATAAGATACAGATGGCACGTTTACTGTTAGTTACGCATAAATAAGTATTCATTTGTGATCAGTGCCTGATGATCTTCAGCCATATCGTGTGATTCTCTTAATATACATATGTAAGACAGTCTGAGAGGACAGACCTTTTAGTCATATGCTTGCATTTATATGATGTTACCTACAAACCTTATATAGTCAGTCTATATTTGTCCCACTTAGCCTGCCTTGACTTATGATTGTAAGAGTTACTCTGCATTGTACTAAATCAAATATGTTCAAATACGCTCAAGTGGAATGTGCAATCTAAATAAACCTTTGGCTTTTGTTCTATTTCACCCGTAAAAAGTTATTCTTTCTTATTCAGGGAAATCTGTTCAATTAACGTTTCAAAATTAATCACAAATGAATGATTGTTTACAGTTGCTAGTAGTCCTATAACTACTTCTGCAGCATTCTAAAATTGTTAGTATACAAGATAAGTAGGTAAAGCAATACAAGTTGTACATGAACAATAATAAATATCAATGATAAACATCATTTTCCCTCAAAAGAGGAAATAAAAAGTAAAACATTAATAAACAATTGTGCTTTGGTAAACCATGGGCTTTCAATCTAGTTGAAAGCTCATGGGTAAACTGAATAAATAGTTTAAAACTTCAAATATTGAACTCACTTTTTAGCACAGTGGAAAATATATTTACTCAGAACTATCAGAATAGTCTCTGACTAGATATGTACTATACTGTTAAGGTTTGCACATTAAAAGATCTTTAAGTTTTACAACAGAATGAACTGTTCAGTTATATTCATAGCACAAAAAATATACTAGTAGTTAATACATTTCACTTTTCGAAATGATCTTAATGGCACAAATGTAAACCTCAAATTGCACAATGATTTCAATTTGACAAAATGGGTGTTTTGAAAATTTCCTGTAAAACATAAGATAATCTGGAATGATCTAATGTGCTAAACAATCTGGCATACAGTTGGAAGTACATTTAATGGTCCATGTCCAGGGGTCCATGTTTTTATTACAAGGAATATTGATAAAATATGGAACCTTTTCGCTCTAATGGCTGTTATGTTAGCTGAGCTTGTGCTAATATCAACTAGTTGATAAAATGATATCACTCAAAATGATCTGATATCTTGTACATAATAGGACCAAGCATAATACCATCTAGAAATTCCATCCTTTTGAAAATTAGAAACCACAACTATACTCCGGTTATTCCTGGCATTTTTTGTGTGCAATTTAGTTTTGTGGTTTTCGCAATAGTGGTGAAATTAATGGGGCATACAGTAGATATTTTGACCAAATATAAAATAAAATAATATGCCATCACCTTCTCCAAAAGTATCTTTAATATAGTTTCTTATTCTAAAGAATGCTAATTGGGGAAGCTGTGGGTGTTGTGCTCATGTAACTTAATTTTACTTTTACCATCAAGTGATGGACCAAATAAATCATATTGCTTAAATTAACTGTACAAGCTGTTCAGCATCATTATCTAACAGTTAACTATATATCTTTTGAGACATTAACAGTGACTGGTTGCATTGATTGGTATAATTGTTATAATTACCCTGATATTCTCTGCTAAATCAAACAGGGTCATTAAAAAATTGAAACCCATTTTTCCTGATATAATTTGATCATGATCCTTTTAGATTAAGTGGATCTGTTATCTTTTTTAATTCACAGTCCATTTAATTTGGACTTCTGAAACCAATCTTAATTCAGCCCCACCAAATTCCTCCCCTGCAAATTTATTTTGACATAATTTTATGTACATATTTTTTAATTGCCCTGTTTTAACTAGCCCAACTAACATGATACAATCTACACAGTTCGCATAAATCAAAAATTGCCAATAACCCCAGCCTTATCAGAGAGGCTTAGCAATCTTATCTAAATATGTATTAGATTAACAAACATTTAAACCAGAACATGATTGAATGTTCCTGGTACTGCATATCAGTTCCCAGTACAGTAAAACAAAATCTATCATTGACTCTTGTATTCAACCCTTATTCACTCTCATTGGTATTCATCAGATATATGTTATGCATTTAATGCAGTGCTCTCCCCAGGATTTCTTCTCAAATGGGGCAAAATTCATATTTTCACGACCTTTTGTCAAAATATACCAATTTTGTCAAGAATTCTTTGCTTACTTTACTCCTGGGGAGATCACTGCTTAACATAAACCTAAATGCTTAACACAATATAATAAAATAGTGATGATAAAACTATTTAATCACAAAGCAATGTTCAGGTGCTAATCAAGGGCATAGCTAAACATAAGTCAGGGGAGGCAATTTGAACATGTCTAATATTAACACTTTTCATAAAAGATCACATGTTTCATACAAAATGCTCAAACATTTTCATTGTTGTATCAATCATAAAGTGCAAACATTTGGAACTATATTGATTGAACTGTTGAATGGTCTCACTCAAAATATGTCATTCTAACCTGACAAGTGAATTCATTTGAAATAGATTTTCAAATTATTAGAACGCCCTTGGCAACAGAATTGTAAATATCTACTGAGAATGTGTTATCATTTCATCAAAATGCAGAATCGCATGAATGCAAATACCTCAAAATGTGAACACCTCCTAAACTGAACTTTTTTCCAATCCGGATGACATTTGGATTAGACAGGTGATACTGTATTCAGACAATTTTCAACTGAAACTTTGAGATCAAATTACAATGATATAATAATTATATCCTCTTTAACTCCCTCTGTTTAGATCCTGCTTAGCTATACCCCTTTATAAAATTTGATCTTATAAGCTTGTTTAAAGTAAATATGTATTAAGTCAATATGTGGAATAAGAATATTGCAAATAAATAAAATCTAACCTTTAAGTTAATAAAAAAAGATTATACAAGAATATAATCTAACAAGACAGAACTACATATTCTTGCTTTACAGATATCTCAAATATAGCCATTGGTCAAATGAAATATTAATGTGAAGAACTAGGCCTAATAAAATCAAGATCTAGTATACTGCATGTGCACTTGCTACATCTGCTAATAAATTATTTGTGATCCTTTCCTATGTACTCTTGATTTCAAAGAATCCATTAGTGAATATCATAGAGTCTGAGACATGTAGAAATCAAATTCACATCTCAATCCATCATACTTTCTAGAAAATAGGAAGATTGTCTTCATTATTAGGCATTATTCCATCAAAATTCCATAACAATCGTTGATACATGTAGATGTTATGTTTTAACTTCTACTGTGTACCTAAAACCCAAGTGGATTGCTATACTTTTCATATTTCTTGGAAAAATTGTCTTTTTTCATGAAATAATGTCTTGAGTCTTATAGATGGAGAGGAAATGTTCCTTCTTTATTGAACTTTGCCAACAAAGTAAATCTTAACACAGTGTATCTTGAGCATCAACACACATCTAATGTTCAGTAACATTTCTTTTTCTATTTCCTATTCCTTGGATACTAAGTGTAAGGAAGCCGATTTTTTGATTGACGACAGGGTGCTTGCTTGGCTTTCAGACTAAGGGTGGCCCACAACACCCTTATTACATTCGCCTTCACCTCTTACCAATGCAGAATATTCATTATTATTTTGGTCAACATTTTTTAAAACCTCCTCAGTCTAAAAAACTGGCAAGCATCCTTTGGGGTTGACAAAAAATATGATGTGACACTAGATTGCTTGAGAACTTCGCTACACATCCTTTGGAAGAATTCTTCTATTTCACTTTCTTTCCATTTTTTACATCATTGGAGTTGTTACTTTCAATAAACTGAAAATCTCCATCTCCATGGAAACGCAACCTCAAAAAATAACCGAACATTACATCCTGCCAGAGTGAAAGAAACAGCCATCCTGGCGCATATTCCAGTGTAATAAGACCCATAAAGTTCAATGGGTAGTGACTGTAATCCCAAGGACAAGCGTTGAATTGTCTCAGTATCAATCCACTGCAGAGCTCCCACGCGTAGCAAATAATAAGATACACAAACAATCTTGATAACAGAGGAATGCCACGTTTTATAAATATCCTGTAGAGGTATTCAACAGCAAAGCAACAACTGCCATAGATAAAAAATGAATAGATCGAGGAATGGCCTTTCAGTGACCAATTATTACCATCAGAAGCAACATGGTCAAATATTGATGTAAATATGATTTCATCAAAGAATCCATGCATCCCGTAAAAATAAAAGCGCACCCATCCTGGCAGTGGTGACATCTTCATTATGAGATCCGTGTATGTGAGAACTGTCAATCGGAATCGGCCGATTGTGCTTTATTAGCAAACGTGAATATAGATTTGAGTTAATGAATAGTTGACTTCATAAATTGTCTCAATACAAAGAGTTAACAATATTCACGGTAATATATATGTCTGTTAGCAGAAAAATACGTATTTTTCTCCAATTGTACTGCATTTACTGATTTCTATTTTCCTTCTAGCTTGCCTGTAAGAATTTAGATTATCTGGAGATTCCAATCTGGATTTATCCTTCAATTCCCGGTTCAGTTCATTAAGATACTTCACTTAACTTTGTCGATAAGTAGACTATATATCTATAAGACTGACTGCAACTTCCTATCGATTTTTGTTACTGATAATTGTTAGAAATTGTACATTGAATTTGGAAGATAAGAGTATTGGAAATTTTCTGTTTTCCTTATGAAGGTCATTGCGCATGCGCGAAAAAGTTCAAGGTCGATAAAATGTCAGCTTCCATCAATTTCTGGAAATTATTGAAAAATTTGTAATCTTTGTTGAATATCTCTTTCCATTGGTTCAATATATTGGTAACATTCTTGCGCAATTATGGCGGAGGATAAGATGTTCAAGCTACAAGGGCAAATTCGCCAGAATCAGGCCGAAGTTCAAGAATATTTGAAAGATTTGGATAATTGGTCATCCGATATAAAAAAGAAAGAGTCAAATTTGAAATCCTCTAAAGATGCGATTGGTAATAAAGCTCAGGTACTATTAAATTGTTTAAAATTAAATTGTTTTAATAATGGATTAAAAAATATATTTCAGTTCATCTAATATTCTCACATGAACATATGTACATTACCCACATTACCGTTCCTGCCTGTCAACACTAATGCATGAGGCGTGATTGTCACACATTTGCTGGAAAAATTTAATTCATGCATCAATTTTGCATTTACGATAAAATGTCACGCAAATCAAGCATTATGTTGATATTTAATTAATCTGCTTTTTATAAAACGCCGATATTGTAAAATTACGACCGCTGAAAAAAGCGAACGCATTCCATACATACTTTTCACATAAATTCCGTATGTGTCACATATTTGCTTCGAAAATTCCTGAAAACTTTTGGCAATAGGTGTAAATTTTTTTGAAACAAATACGTAATACATACACAAAATGCGTGACATAAACGGCAATCGCGTGCAAAGACCGAACGGAATGCGTTCGCTTTTTTTCGCCGTTCGGTAGTTTAACGTATCGGCATTTCACAAAAAAACGATTTTTAAAAATATCAACAAAATGCGTGATTTGCGTGATATTTGATCATACATGCTAAATTGATGTGTGATTTCTATTTTTCCAGCAAATGTGTGACAATCACGCCTAATTTAATTTAATTATTTATTTACCTGTATTTAAACAGAGTGGTTTTACAAACATATTTACATTTGGTAACATCACCTCACACAATTAAATAAAAAAGCTTCCATTTTAAATGGATGAATACTGTTTATGTTTTATAGGACATTGGTTCTTTCAAGAGTGTCTTTATAATGTAAAAATCTACTGTCCAACGTATTCTTTCAGAATGTTTGATCTAACAATAGTCATTTTATGCACTATACATGCAATACTTATCATATCATCGTCATCAATTTCACAGTCGGGATATGCAAATATCTTATCTAGTTCTTTAAAAGCACCGTATTTTCTTGTAATTAAACCTAACTGGTTACGATGTTCTTGCCATTTTGGACATCTCATAATAAAGTGATCAATTGTTTCTGTTTCGAACCTGTTACAGACAACACAAATACTATTTACACCTGAATTTTTTACGCGTAGATCGTGACAATCAGTGGCTAGTCTCATCATTGTTTTACACTGCGGGGTATATTGTGTTTTTTTTCCTTGCCAAGATTGCGTGAGGGTTGACAGGGCAGCAATTGTAACCCAGGGCTTGCATTAACGGCGTCCCATACATGTTAAGGACTCAAAAATAATTTGGAGGACGCAAAAATTGAAAATATTTCTGTTTTTTGGAAGCAAAATTTTTTTAGGTCAATACTACAATGTGTTTACAACGATACCTAACAAAAACAAATAATTATGATCTCTCACCTTTATTTGAATCGTAAATAAGGCTCAACATGTTGAATATTTACAAATAATCATGATTCTCTCGAATTTTTTCGACTTTGTTTATTTTTAGATTTGAAACCATGAAACGCCACAGTTTTTCCTATTCAGAAACAAATATTAGGTTATCCATGAAATAAAATGTATTCATTGTCGAATGAATGAACATGCATTTATTCATTCCGTACTTAACGTTTACTTCAGTTTTAAATTCGCGGCAAGAAATCATAAACTGAAAATATGACTAGAAATAGGGAACACACTTTTTTTTCAAAGGGACACACTTTTTTTTTAAAATTGCGTCCTTGGGACTCACAAATTTTCTAACCTAATGCAAGCGCTGGTAACCCGTAAAACCCTATGGCAGATGCAAGTTGACTGTACAACCAATGTGACATTAGGTGACTGCAGTTTTCTTTTGCACACCATAGAAATTTACTGATTTGAAGTAACTATGGTCAACATGGAGCAAATGTGACTTTGGCTTTACATGATTAGACTCTAACTTCTAGAAAAGTCACATGCACAGAATCCTAATGGAACTTGCATTAGGAAATATTGAAGGCTTCTTCTTGTCTTTTTCGGTTCAAATAGAATAGAAATGTATATAATAAAGGCAACATTTCCCAAATGTCTCCTCCTTCATCATTTAGCTTTAGTAGCAGAACTGACAAATAATGTCACTGAATGTAGCACTTGAAAAGAACAGGAGTACAGGACATGTCAATTTCAGTATTTCCCCATCCCCCATTTAAATCATTAACACACTGTCTGTTGAAGGATCTAAGTTCAAGAATCAGCATTGGGTATTTTTGAAGTTATTACACATATACTTGTAATAGAAAATAGCAAAATTATTCACTTGTTAATGTTAACATTATAATTATTTTTCAATTATCTCCTTCTGCTCCATCTTGAAACTGTTCAATACCAAAGGCCTGTGGATTGTTCTGTTCTGCAAATTGAAGTTAATTTAAGAAAGAGAGTTCTGCTTGACATGATGTCTTGCAGAATTGATTGAAAATCATAGATCTCAAAAATGCATCATTATGTTGAACAAAGATGTTTCTATTTGGGATAAATCACTTTAGAGCTCAAATTATGAATAAAAACTAGAATTCACTACTATGAATCACAAACAAACTGAAAACTACGTACTCCATGAGTACGAGCATAATATAATTTGACTTTTTCAGAAATTGCCACCTGTGCGCAATAGTCTCGATCGTAAGAAAAAAGTTAAAAAGAAGAAGAAGAAAGAGAATGGTGAATCACAAGAAGCATACTCAGCCATTCCTTCAAATGATGATACCAAAGAAGTTACCAAACAATCCAAGAAAATAAGTGGATTTGACTTCAGAGCTTGGGATCAATTTGATGTGGTAAGTTGAGAGTATTCCCAAAGTAATTCTCTGTTTGTTGTTTCACTGATGAAGTGTATGTATTTATGTAAAAAAGGTTTGACCAAATACAAGTCGTTGTGATATCTTATATATTTAGGAAAACCTTGCGCTGAAATTGATAAAAATATTGATAAATCAGGCGTCTTTATGTACATCTTTCTTATTCAGGATAAGGCTAGTGCTAAAATAGATGAAAATGCAGATGTCTTTATTATGTGTATCTTTCATATTCAGGATAAAGCTTGTGCTGAAATTGATGAATTGCTGATATTATGTTTATCTTTCTTATTCAGGATAAGGCTTGTGCTGAAATTGATGAGGATGCCGACAGATCAGGGTCAGCGTCAAGTAGTGAATATGAAACAGATGAGGACTGGGAGGTTGAGAGAAAGAAACAGCAAGCAATTTATGAAAAGGACAAAGTAGGAATAAAATTAATATACTGATAATGATTCTTGATCTATATGACATTCAAGTTGTTCTATGTACTCGTGATGTACAGGGTGTTAGAAAAACGCAACCCAAAGAAATCGCTATATCTTGAAAAATACTTGTTCAATTATGTTCATATTTTCAGGAAAGCTCATGTAGATAGTTAGTTGTAAAACATCATGCCTTGGACACTTGCTCAAAAGACGGTTGTACTAGGAAAATACGAAAAACGCAGTCAGGGGTGACTGCAACCGCAAAAAACTAAATAACTTCCTGACCATAGTGTTTTGGCTCTTCAAATTTGGCACAAATCATCTTCATTCACTGTATGGTAAATCTGTAGAGTGAAATCAAAATCACTTCAGGGACTTTACAGTTATGCTTGAAATGCTTTCAAATCGTAGTCAAACGCCCTGGTTCAGGCAGACTTAAGATGGCATTTTGACCATGACTATAAAGTCCCTGGAGTGATTTTGATGAAACTCCACACATTGAATGAGGATAATTTGTGCCAAATCTGAGGTGTCAAAACACTATGGTTAGAAAGTTATTTGGTTTTATTGTTGTGGCAGTCACCTCTGACAGCGTTCTTCGTATTTTCCTAGTACAACTGTCTTTTGAGCAGGTGTCCAAGACACCATGTTTTACAACTAACTAACAACAGGAGCTTTACATACACAGTCTCTACTTTCCTTCCTGAAAAAATGAACACAATTGGATTAGTATTTCCCAAGATATAGCGATTTCTGTGGGTTGTGTTTTTTGGAACACCCTGTATCCTAAAACAGATATTTAGATTAGCTTGCTATGGATTAATATACATATGTAATAATCTGATTGCAAGGGCAACCAGTACTTCAAGGAGAAGAAGTATGACTTAGCAATTGAGTGCTACACCCAAGGGATGCAATGTGATATGTCTAATGCCCTACTACCTGCCAACAGGGCCATGGCACTTCTCAAACAAAACAAGTAAGAAAAAAAGAACTTTTGTTAAAATTGAACGTGTATGTCCTTTGCCTTGAATATAGCATATACATGTATATCCAAAATTACTATTTAGTATTTACATATGTTATGCCAGGTTAATGAATTGAACGGAAATATAAAATACTGTCAACTCCCAATTTCAAACTGGAGAACTCATTTGTGTGAATCTGCCTTACATGATGCCATGCATCCTCATTGATCAATCCAAAGTAATGCCTCAAGGACCTTCAACATCATAAAAATCATTCTTGGCCAACACAAGTACATTGACTGAAGTTAGCCATAGATTTGCGTAATAAGCCCATGAGACGAACAGATTTAATTGTATTTCAGATATGCAGCAGCTGAGAGGGACTGTTCTATTGCCATACAGCTCGACCCCACCTATGTGAAAGCCTATGCCAGAAGAGCAACTGCCAGAAAAGGATTGGAAAAATGGCGGGATTCTAAAAGTGACTTTGAAAAAGTTTTAGCACTTGAGTCGAGTAATAAAGAAGCTAAAGCAGAATTGGAAAAACTGGATAAGGTATTATTTATTTGACCACATAGAACATGCATGTACAGGACATAATATCTTATAGTGAGTTCTTTTGGTGACCATAAATTTTGATGCTTAAATGGATGTCGCATTTGGTGCTTCTGACTATGGGCTTTCTCACACCGGAATAGCCTGACAACTGTAAAGTCAGATACAATTGTCACAAATGGCAGACATAACAGTCGCTTCAATTAGATTTTCATGAACTGTATGTTTAATAGAGCACCTAAACTTCATTCCTTTGGAACAACAATCAATCAAAGTGCCTTAATACTCATTGTACAGTTAGTTCTACCATCGAAATAAAGTCTTTAATTTAACCGATCAAAATGAGATACGGGACAATGGACAATGTAATTACCATATGCCGTTATCTTCATAAATTACTCAAATTCAGATTCCGTTGTCATTGAAGATGCTATATTGTGGCGATTCACGACCCAAGAAACATCATCACAAGAGCTTAAAACATGCACAGAATTAGCGACGATGAAATACCATGAAATGAGGACCGAGTGATTAAACAGTTGAAGCAACGGTTATGTCGGCCATTTGTGACAACGGTATCTGACTTTACCGTTGTCACTTTGTCAGGCTATTCCAGTGTGTTTCTGTTGAAAGCCCATGTTCAGACTAAGATCAAGGTTTAGATCACAAATCAACATTTGTTTTTGATAATACATGTCTATGTATGCCTACCATGGAATCTTTCTGTGGTTGTTATATTCTTTTGTTTGTTGATCAAGAAAGAATAAACTTGAGTTCTTGGTTATTATATTTTAGAAAATTAATCCTCCACCATTGCCAACAGAGGACACCACTGGTATGGTAAAAGCTATATACAAACCACCAAACATGAGGTCAAAGGTCAGTGTTAAAACTTTAATTTACTTTTCTGGAATATTGCAGCTGTTAGAAAAAACAATATTCATGAATAAATAATTCAAAGTTATATCATGTTTTAACTCAGCAGACAAAAGTACATTTAGAAATGTTAAAAATAGTTTTTTAACTTTCATTTTATGTGATTTCTAGATCAGGTAAATGTTCTATTTATCTCCAGGCTCCATGGGATATAAGGAAATAAATTATGTGTATTATTTTCAATATATTTGCAGAAACCTCTCATTAGACTTGATATTGAGGAGATTGGAGTGGACAATGAGGAACAAAAACGAACTGAACAAATAAAAGAAGTTAAGTCATCTCAAAGTGAAGTGAAACATAAAATGGTTGAAAAAGATGAAAAACTATTTGAACAATTTACTGAAAATGCCTCACCAGCTTCCATAGTAAATATGATGAGTCATTCCAAACGTACACCAAATAAGCCGTCTGCTGATGAGGTCATAGGGGTCAAGGCCAGTATTGAAGAAATAGATGGCACTGATGTCAAAGAAACTGTCAGTTCAAAAAGAAAAAGTATCAGCCCTAGAATTAATTCAAATACTGCTCAATCAAATACATTGGTGAAGAAAACCTCCCCAATGACATCACCAAGAGACACACAGACAGATTTATCACCACGTATCCCTCCAGTTCCACAATCGTCGTTCCAATTCCAAACTGATTGTAAAGTGCTCAAGAAACATAAAGAAAAGTTTTATACATATTTCAAGGTATGTTTTTCATTTTCCCTAATAAAGATAGTCTTACGGTGTTGACTACAATATTGAAATGCAATGAATGAGATGTGATTAATGGGTGAAGTAGTCTTTTCAAATCCATTTCTTGTATCTATGTATCTTATTTCTTGCTTGGGTTTGTGTTTGTGAAAGAAAAATGTCTCAGGGGAAACATTATGAATTTGTATGTGCACTTGTAATTCAGTTTGTATCATAAAATTGCAACTTGTGTTACAGGCAATTCCTCCAGGGCAGTATAAAAAGTTGATAGGCAACTCGCTTGAGTCTGACATGCTGCTAAATATTCTCACAACTCTCAATGATTACTATGTACCGTAAGTACTATACAGCACATTTCATGTATTAAAATGTTATATCCAGTAGACATTATCTGCTTTTACATTCAAAATTGTAATTATTGTCACATTTTCACATACCCCTGACCTCCAGTACAATACCCCTGACCTCCATTACAATAACAACAATACATTCAGCATGTTAATGTGTCTCAGCACCATCATTAATGTTGATACAAACCTGATTTTTCAATAAATATTGCAGTTTGTAAAAAAAATTTAATTCATGTATATTGAAACCTGTGGAAACTCTAGAAGTGGTACACCTCTAGGCCTATAAGTGAAACAGTATGGAAGATGTTCCACGTAGACAGGTTTTTACTGTATATTGAATGTGTACAACAAATATATATTTATACATTTTGGTACTTGTAGTTCTGGTGCTGATGTTTTCTCTGAGCTTGACAGTTTAGCAAATGTACAGAGGTTTACGATGACTGTCATGTTCATGTCCACTGCAGAACAAAAAGGTAATATTTTGGGAAAGTAGAATGTGAAGCAAAAGAACGAACAACCCCTGTATGTCCCAACAACCCCTGTATGTCCCAACAACCCCTGTAAGTTCCAACAACCCCTGTATGTCCCAACAACCCCTGTAAGCCCCAACAACCCCTGTATGTCCCAACAACCCCTGTATGTCCCAAAAAACCCTAACAACCCCTGTATGTCCCAACAACCCCTGTATGTCCCAACAACCCCTGTATGTCCCAACAACCCCTGTATGTCCAAACAACCCCTGTATGTCCCAACAACCCCTGTATGTCCCAACAACCCCTGTCTGTCCCAACAACCCCTGTAAGCCCCAACAACCCCTGTATGTCCCAACAACCCCTGTAAGCCCCAACAACCCCTGTATGTCCCAACAACCCCTAACAACCCCTGTATGTCCAAACAACCCCTGTATGTCCCAACAACCCCAACAACCCCTGTATGTCCCAACAACCCCTGTATGTCCAAACAACTCTTGTATGTCCCAACCACCCCTGTATGTCCCATGCATGAACTTTTGGAAATAATTTGTAAAAATTTTGGAAACACATAGCTAAATACAATATTAAAAAAAGCTCTAAACTTGATCACATGTTTTGTTTTTCTGCTGCATAAGTTTTAAGTATTTGTATTTTGATTTCCTTTCCAGTCATAAAACAATTGCTCAGCTATTTGACAAACAAAGGAGTCCACAATCCCAGTGATATTGAAGAACTAAAACGTAAATACAGCGTTTAACTGGACAGGAGACAAAGGAGGTTGTCTTGCTGTCACAATACATAAAACTTCTGTATATGATTCAGGAGTCGAGAAATCTCTTAAAAATAGCCAAAATACTGTGATATCATCTTGTTGATATGCTGTGGATTATACTGCTAGTAATGACTTGATTGATGCATTGAACTCAAGGATATATCCGGCTCTGATATGTGTTCAAGGACGAATGAGTGAAATATAATATGACTTCAAATGGCGAGAAATCATTTTCTGTTACAAGTAGCAGACTTGAATCTACATGTAATATGAAACTGGAGTCAATACAGTTTGCTTGGAAAAATACCCAACAATTGGAAACTAAAAAATATAATTTTTGATGAGAGACATTTGGATAATTTAAACAGAAATCACAACCCTGGAGACCTATTAGTGATGACTGATATTTGTGGCTAGTTATTCTGAGTTGGAACCCATTTTTTACTGTTGATTTTATAAAAAGAAGATTGATCAACTGTCTGAATCCTTATGATGACAATTAAGGGGCATATAATAGTAAAATTATTGTGACTCAATGTGTTATATTTGCTTACTCTTAAAAGTGCATGTTATGAAACTTGGTTTGCATTGCACGATAGTTTTTGTTTTGATCTCAAAATATTGTGAAAATAATTGGATAATGACATAAAATGAATGATAATGAATACATAATGTATAATATGATAATATCCATGAAAATGTCTAAACTGTCATGTCTGTAAATTAATAAATATTTATCCTGTTTCCACATAAAATATTTTATTTCCTAATATATATGTATCTTTTATTGACTCTTTAGATGTCATATCATGACATATTAGTCACTAAGGTAGAGCAGTTCTTCCCATTGTCGAGTTGAAGAACTGGTATCTTTATCCTGCCTATACCTAGTAACGATTCATTTGTAGTTTATAAAACGTTGTTGCTTACATACACTTGTTTGTATTGATAGACTTTAACCACCGTTTGATGAACTAAACATGAATAACTAGATGACAACGATTTCATCCATATCTACAGTATTCAGGTTATATGTAGTTAATGTATGAACATGAATCTGAATTATTTTCTATATGGTATAATTTATTATCAAAACATATTTACATTTACATTTATCAATGCAGAGATAGTACATGTATGTTGGTGCTTTGTACAAGTTTGGCACATTGGAATCACATGAGTGCAGGGTGCAGATCTTAAATAGTTGTGAAAATATATACAGCAGTGCAGTCAATTTAAATATAACATGCATTTATATTACATTGGTAGTTTCTAAACAATTAATCGCACATTCTGGTATGATGGCTACAGAGTGGGTGTCCTAGTATGTGCTTTCATTGATGTTGTATTGTCCAGTTCTGGTACTTTTGGAAGTTTCTCAAAGTGAGTTCTAATCTATGTTGTGTCCTTTTGCTTTTTCCATTGTAGCGAGATCAATAGTGCAAAAATAGTTCATTCATGGAACGAAGCGTGAAACTTTCCACATATCATCAGAATACTATTCCCTTTGATTTAAGAGCCAGAGCCATTTTTGTGGTCCACTAGAATGATCAAAAAATAATAAGTACCCCCTCCCACCAAATCCTACGGGGGTGGGGAGATATCGAAATATTCTTTTCATAAAAAATTTCTTTGAATATGGTCATACTACAGTTTTAGTGTGCTATTTTCATGGTAAAGAAATTTTGCAAACATAACCAGATGATTTATCATCAATTTTCATCATTGTTAAAGACTAATCATGGGCGACGCCCACTTTTCATACCTTGAACATTTAGGTTATTAAATCTCTATCATGGGTTGAACAAATAAATGTAATTCAGTTTTCTGGATAACACCAGATACCTTTTTGATGTTAGGTGCTATAATTAATCTTTGCATTTGACTTCTTAAAGGCTTAGACCATATCACACCCCTGTTTAGAAGAAGAAAGCAAGCAACAAATGTCCCAGATCTACAACATGTATCCACTATTCTATGTACATGTATGTCGAGTCTCTATACTCTCCTGAAGAGAACCTATGCTACAGACACAACTGTCCAGAATTTAGATGATGATCTGCTGAAACAGTTTGATGAATGGTGTGCTGACCAAGTACCTAAACAGTTTGATGAATGGTGTGCTGACCAACAGAATGTACCAGTCTTCAAGCTTTGGTTTCTGATTATTTAAATTGAAATACTGTGCCTTGACTATGTGAGGGCTATAGGACAGGAGAATTTTCCTCTTTATTTCCAGATGGTTTCTCTTTGATTTTCATAGTTGTTAAAGACTAGTCATGGGCGACGCCCACTTTTCATATGCTGAACATTTAGGCTATTAAACCTCTTTCATGGGTTGAACCGGAACCAGAAGGACCGCCACAGTCACAGCCTGCAGTCTCTAAATTCTCAAGAGAGCGTATACTACATATACAGCTGTCCAGAATCTAGATAATGAAGTGATAAACAGTTTGATGAAAGGTGTGCTGACCAACAGAATGTACCAGTCTTTAAGTTTTGCTTTCAGATTATTTGAATCAAAATACTGTGCCTTAACTAAGTGTAGGCTATTAGAGAGGGAAATTTCCCCCTTTATCTCCAGTCAATTAGCAAGCTTGTCACCTGGTTTTTTGTTTTTTGACCTTGTCAATATGCTTGCTGAGTACCAGTTCAGTGTATCATCAGAACTCAAAGTTCAAAAATGGATAGCTTTTGGAAAAGTAAAAAATTAGAAATATCTCACTTCCCATGAAATTGCGTCTCCCCTTATTTCATGCTCCCACAGGTTCAGACACTACACCAGCAAAGGCTGGGAAAATGATTTGGGTGCCAGTGTAGAAAACATTGCCCCAAGCTTCAGATGCATGCCAAATGCTAGTAAAATGCAGGGATTGTAATGGACATGACACCTAGCTCAGTGATAATGATAATAGAGTGTTGAAGTGCTTAAATGCACAAAATAGGATATTTGAACTGCAGTTAAGATACCTAATAAGGTAACTTGTATCAATTAGTCAAAGTGCTCTCATTAAAAGTCAAAATAATGTATCATTAATTGTGAATTATATATTATTATATCTTTATATCTAAAAGGGGTGTGGCCTTTCAATTGACCTACTTAAAGCATTTATCATCTTAACATAAGTAACTGACTTATCTTATCAATTTTATTCAGCCTTATTAGGTAATTTTCCTATTCATAATAGAAGACTCATTAACTTGTATATTAACATGTTGATAAAGTGGGCGTCGCCCTTGACCAGGCTTTAATAATGAATATCCATGAGAAATACGGATGCAATCTTGAAAATTGTTTTTAAACACTGAAAATAACATACTAAAAATGAATATAGATCATATTTAAAAAAATCAACAAAACAATACTTCCCTCCCCCTCCCCCAGGATTTGAAGGGAGAAGATTTGCATTTGCAATTTTTCAGATATCATCAGGACACCATTCCCTTTGATTTAAGAGCCAGAGCCATTTTTGTTGTTCACTAGAATGAGGAAAAAAGCACTTGCATCTTTTTGTGAGCACTGTTGTTTGCAGCTGCGTTTTACTAGCATTTGGCATGCATCTGAAGCTTGGGCAATGTTTTCCACACTGTCACCCAAATTATTTTCAATTGTGAGGGTGAAGCGAGGACTTACATAGGTATAATTGTCTGGAACCAACTTTTGCAACTTATGGTGGGATTTTCTCAATTTGAGATGTTTTCTTTGTTAACATTTCTTGTCTTGCAGCATTTACAGTTATTTCATTGTTCATTGTCTCTATTGTATAAAATCACAACAAAACGTTCAATGATTAGAATCCAGATATAGTGTCTGAACCTGTTGGGGCATGAAATAAGGGGAGACACATAGTCCTACCATGTCAAAGGGCAGCTGCAATTTCATGAGAAGTGAGATATCTCTAATTTTTTACTTTTCCAAAAGCTATCCATTTTTGAACTTTGAGTTCTGATGATATTCTGAACTGGTACTCAGCAAGCATATTGACAAGGTCAGAAAACAAAAAACCAGGTGATAAGATTGCTAATTGACTGGAGATAAAGAGGGAAATTTCCCTCTCTGATAGCCCACACTTAGTTAAGGCACAGTATTTCGATTCAAATAATCGGAAACCAAAACTTAAAGACTGGTACATTCTGTTGGTCAGCACACCTTTCATCAAACTGTTTAGGCACTGGGTCAGCACACCATTCATCAAACTGTTTAAGCACATCATCATCTAAATTCTGGAAAGTTGTATCTGTAGCATAGGTTCTCTTCAGGAGAAAATAGAGACTCGACATACATGTACATAGAATAGTGGATACATGTTGTAGATCTGGGACATTTGTTGCTTGCTTTCTTCTTGTAAACAGGGTTGTGCTATGGTGTAAGCCTTTAAAAAGTCAAATGCTAAGATTAATTATAGCGCCTAACATCAAAAAGGTATCTGGTGTTATCCAGAAAACTGAATTACATTCATTTGTTCAACCCATGATAGAGATTTAATAATCTAAATGTTCAAGGTATGAAAAGTGGGCGTCGCCCATGATTAGTCTTTAACAATGATGGAAATCAATGATAAATCATCTTGTTATGTTTGCAAAATTTCTTTACCATGAAAATAGCACACTAAAACTGTAGTATGACCATATTCAAAGACATTTCTTTATGAAAAAAATATTCCTATATCTCCCCACCCCCATGGGATTTGGTGGGAGGGGGTACTTACTATTTTTTGATCATTCTAGTGGACCACAAAAATGGCTCTGGCTCTTAAATCAAAGGGAATGGTATTCTGATGATATGTGGAAAGTTTCATGCTTCGTTCCATGAAGGAACTATTTGCCTGTTTTCTTGCACTATTGATCTCGCTATTGTAAGAAGAGTTCTGTTTAATCTTTTTAGTTCTGAACAATTTTTGGTATCATGTTTTTCTTAGTCCCATACATTAATGTCTTTCTCCTTTTGTTTATAACTATGTATATTCCCATTCTCTTTGTTGCTGGGGGAATCCCCTTGGGTAGTTGAAGTTGGAGAGGGCTTTGGACTAGGGATACCTAGATCCATCACCAATTTAGGTGTATTTAAGGATTCCCCATAATTTTGAAATGGTGCAAAACCTGTAGGCACCCCATGTTGTGGCTGGGGTACCCCACTGTTTGTAAAGTTCATAGATGGGACATTGTGAGCACCAGAGGGAAAGAGGAATGCCCGTGGACCCATAGGAGAGGCAATGAGGGGGCTAAGTATGGATTGCATTGTGGTTGGAGACATGCTTGTTTTAGGATACTCTGATCCTAGCATAGGACTGAAATAGTACCCCCCTTGTCGCTGTTCCATCATAGGGGTATAACCATAGGGGAAGGAGTATGGGAAAAAGGGACTGGCAAGGGTAAATGGACTACACATACCAGACTGGAGAACTGAATGTGTGGGTTTCACAGAGTCATTTGACTGGGAGGGAGTTCTGTAGCGTGTTGGGTTTGGATTGGGTTGAGCAAACTGGTGGCTTCCTTTACTGAGATCCAAAGGAGGTGGGAGTTTAGATGTTGAAACACTGACATTGTTGTTCTCTGTAAAGCTGCTATCACTATGGTTACTCGAGAAACTGTCCTGAGATGTTGTATCCAGCATGTAATCTGCTGACTTTACCACTGTTTGAACTGGAGATCCCTCATTGCTAGGTGAACTTTGGTTGCTATGGAAACTGTTGTTGCTGGGTGATATTGTGTGCATTTGAGTAGCTCCAGTCATATTTAGTATGGGATTTTTGTTGAACTGGAAACTAGCACGGTTCGGTGTGTGTTGGTTGTTAGGCGGACTGTTGTTGCTATGGAGATGATTCTTTTGTGTTTTGGGTGTGCCAGCAGGTTTAGGTTGCACAGTCTTCAACTTTGCTTTGCCTCGTCGTAATCGAGACCTCTTGTTTTGAAACCAAACCTGAATGAAAAATCATATTCATAAGTATCACCAGTGAATTGGTTACATTCATGGAAAGTAAAATTGAAGTATGTGGGTGTCTAAAGTAAAAAAACATGTTTTTAATTTTTTGCAAAAGCCTAACAGAAACAATTTGATTGATTTCATGAAGAAGTTTGTAACTATACCTGTACTCTGGCTTCACTGATGCCTAATTCCTCAGCAAGTAGTTCCCGTGTATTGATATCTGGGTACTGGTCATGCGTAAATGATGCTTCTAGCCTCTCTATGGCTCTCTCAGAGAAATGAGTCCTGTCTCTTCGTCTGCGGCCAGTTGGCGGTCCAGCTGCCTCATTGTTGTTACCATTGTTGAACTTTTCTGGATAAATATAAGGGTTTTCATTTATCAAATAATTTTCCATATGTGTATACGAATACACATGTATCTCTAGACTGGGATGAATGCAATGAATAAACTGAGGAAACGTCTTGTAAATATAATGTCAATGAAACAGTTTTGCTGAACCTGGAATCACCCCAGACAGAACATGAGCTTAATTATCAGATCTTTTTAAAATATGGAATATTAAACTGGTTTCACTATTTCTATAGAATAAAACTACTTACAGTGAACTTAATTTCTCAAAATAAGGTCCTCAGAGTTGTTAAATAAAAAGGAAGTCTAAATTATTTTCCTTGTTATAAATGCCCATGGGCCTCTTTTTTAGTATTGATAAAAGGTATTTTGGCTCATTGTGATATCTTTGATATGTAGTTAAGTTCTGAAATCAGATATTTAAAATATTCACTTACCATTCTGCAGAAGATGTGCATATGTCAAGGCATCACTGAATTGTCCAAGTTGCCCACTGCTTCCGTTGTTGTAAAAAACCATGCTAGCCATTTTCCTGAATTCTTGCTTACTTTTAGTTTTTTCAATGAGTATCTTATAGTGTGCTTTCTCTAACTGCTTTTTGTGAAGTGATTTATAATTTGATAATTTCTGCTTATATCTAAAACTGGAGTAATGTGAAGCCATTGATTAGCTGACTTTTACAGAATACATTGTGACTTATTAAGATTCTCAAAATTATGGACTCAAAATATTTTTGAAGCCATAAACAGTTTATCATCAAATTTGAAAACTTGCTTTCAGTTAAGTAAATTGTTTACATGGAAAGAGATAGTTGAACATAACATTATGTTACTTGTGAAACTTGTTTAGATAAGATGGATTATAAATGTGTCATCCAAATCATTTCACTAATTTATCTTTGAAGTTTAATCATCTGGATTATAGAACATCAAACAGTAAAACAATTTATACATTATCATTCGACCAACTAAAACGACAATAAAAAGAATGCAAAAGTAATTCTATGTAATTCCTATAATTTCACTTTTAATTGCACATTTCACTAAAAAATTTTACACTACTATTTATAATATAGATTGATATCTAAATTAATAACATATATTGTCCCTTGAAATTTTGATAATCCCTTTGATCTTACTTTTTGGATAATTAATCCCTGTGATCTCAATTTTTGGATAATTAATCTCTGTGATCTCAATTTTTGGATAATTAATCTCTGTGATCTCAATTTTTGGATAATCCTAGGATTAACTTTTGTTTCATGTTTATTAAAGGCTTATGCTGGTTGGAGTTGTATTTGAATTTAAGAATTGATTGATCCCAAACCCATTTTATTCTATGACCATACTGTATTGTTCATAGGATGGGGTGGACTTCAAAGTTGTCAAGCAATTCATTCACAATGGTGAAACGGAGTATAAAAGGGTAAAGCATCATTTTGGACACACTACCAGACCTGGTTAGATTCAAGGAAAGTTCAATTTCATCCAGTATGTCTGCATTGTAATGACTCGTGAATCAAGAGACAATTAAAGACTGTCATATTTTTGACCATGACAACTGCATATCCAAAAGAATAATTACAGCAATATACATTAGACATAACATACAATGTAAATGAGAAAATAAGATTCTCTTTTTAGAAAATAAGTCCGATTTTTTAAAGTGTGTCAAGAGGGATCCTAGTCCATGATTTTTTGGAGAGATGGATTGATGATTTTTTATGTCACCACCAAAAGTGGTGACATATTGTTATGGTCTCCGTTTTTTTGCGACGGCGGTTGGCGTCCGGCGGTTGGTGGTTGGCGTCCGGCGGTTGGCGTCTGTAACAATTTCTTACAACTTCCTATAACTTAACAAATACTGTTTAGACTGACTTCAATTTTTTTCTAAATTATCTACATGTTCTCAGAAGTTCAAATCTGACTTTAGATTTGACATTTGACCTTCAATGACCTTCTCAAGGTCAAAAAGGTCTTTTTTCAACTTGCTTCACATTGACTAAATTTTTTTTCAAAATCATCTACATGTTCTCAGAAATTCAAATCTGACTTTAGATTTGACTTTAGATTTGACATTTGACCTTCAATGACCTTCTCAAAGTCAAAAAAGGTCAAAAAGGTCTGTTTTCAACTTGCTTCAAATTGACTAAATTTTTTTTTCAAAATCATCTACGTGTTCTCAGAAATTCAAATCTGACTTTAGATTTGACATTTGACCTTCAATGACCTTCTCAAAGTCAAAAAAGGTCAAAAAGGTCTTTTTTCAACTTGCTTCAAATTGACTAATTTTTTTTTCAAAATCATCTACATGTTCTCAGAAATTCAAATCTGACTTAAGATTTGACATTTGACCTTCAATGACCTTCTCAATGTCAAAAAAGGTCAAAAAGGTCTTTTTTCATCTTGCTTCAAATTAACTAAATTTTTTTTTCAAAATCATCTACATGTTCTCAGAAATTCAAATATGACTTTAGATTTGACATTTGACCTTCAATGACCTTCTCAAGGTCAAAAAGGTCTTTTTTCAACTTGCTTCAAATTGACTAATTTTTTTTTCAAAATCATCTACATGTTCTCAGAAATTCAAATCTGACTTAAGATTTGACATTTGACCTTTAATGACCTTCTCAAGGTCAAAAAAGGTCAAAAAGGTCTGATTTCAACTTGCTTTAAATTGACCAAATTTTTTTTTCAAAATCATCTACATCTTTTCAGAAGTTCAAATTTGACTTTTACAAGTTCTCAGAAGTTCAAATCTGACTTTAGATTTGACCTTTGACCTTCAATGACCTTCTCAAGGTCAAAAAGGTCTTTTTTAAACTTGCTTCAAATTGACTAATTTTTTTTTCAAAATCATCTACATGTTCTCAGAAGTTCAAATCTGACTTTAGATTTGACATTTGACCTTCAATGACCTTTTCAAGGTCAAAAAGCTCTTTTTTCAACTTGCTTCAAATTTACTTAATTTTTTTTTCAAAATCATCTACATGTTCTCAGAAGTTCAAATCTGACTTTACATTTGACATTTGACCTTCAATGACCTTCTCAATGTCAAAAAAAGTCAAAGAGGTATTTTTTCAACTTGCTTCAAATTGACGAATTTTTTTTTCAAAATCATCTTCATGTTCTAAGAAGTTCAAATCAAACCTTCTTAAGGTCAAAAGGTATTTTCCAACTTGCTTTAAATTGACCAAATTGTTTTAGGTGGTGACATTTTGTCATGTTAATGCCTTGTTTTATTATCCTGGGGACCTCACTTTGAGGAAAGCATATTATCTAAATAAGAAATGCTGTATTTATGGTGAGAAAATACTCATGGTTAAGATTGTCCAGCTTGATTGAAACTTGGAAGCTTGGTAAATTTCCACACTCAAATTATAAATTGAATTTTTATTGCTTCAATATAGACACTAGCTGTCTTCGAACACAGCATTACTTTCAGTCAAGAGGCAAAGTCCATTTCTTTGCCAGTCCATTGGGTCTTTATCTACAGAAGAGGTGCTTATCTTCTAAGGGATTCACCCCTTTAATTTTAATAACAAAAAGACAATGTGTATTTCCATAGGAATAATAATATATCATCTATATTTAACATCTAATGTAGTTTTTACAAATATAATAATATATGAAAATAAAATATAGTATCAACAAATAGTTGTACATAAATATTGGTCATCATGTTCACGATGCCATGGTGGAGAAATAGTGAAATGTATATAACAATATTAACAAGAGTTTAACCAATAGCATGCAGATACAGAGTCCTGCATCAAGTGCCACCCTTTGCTTTATTTCGCCACTTATGGCAGGTAGCACATGGATTTCTGAAGGAGTCTAAGAACAACACCTGAGGTTCAATTTGTCATTTTCAGTGCTATTTTCACCACTTCTGACAAAAACAACTTGTTTATTTTTTTCATAAAATGTTTTGATGAGCCTGGTGGATGATTCATAATTTATACGATTCCACATTATTTCCCAACCATGGATATTCTGAACATAACTACACAAAACACAATTTTTATAAACAATTTATAAATAAACACAAAACTGATATTAGGGATGCAAGTTCTTATACAATTTCTGACAACATGAGGCCTTTACAATATGTGAATGACAACAATAAGTGAATGGCAACAATATGTGAATGACAACAATATGTGAATGACAACAATATGTGAATGACAACAATATGCGATAAATGTAAGTTTTTCATTGCTGGCTAAATCTTAACATCTAGAATATCCCATAACATGAAATGACATTCAAAATTGCTTAAGATCTATTTTTTCAAATAATTAAGCAATCTTTCACAACACTTTTGTAAACAGTCTATGGCAGAGCTCTATAAACTGGCCTTGGGATAATTACCCAATTGAGCATATTTTCTGGGACAATGCGAAAGACTGTCTCCACAAATATGTCACTTTTTGAAGCCATGTTAAGTGGCATGTATTCTTGCATCAAGTTTGTGGTATTCCTTCACCTCACATATTTCAACAAGTGTTTGAACTCAAGTTTGAGATATGCTAATGAGATATGAGCGTGAGTCACAAGGTCTTTAGATTCTCCAATTTTTTCTGTATTTCCACAACAAGAATTAAAACTAAAATTTGAGATAAAAGTGTGAGAGGAGTAGCACGGGGACTTTACATAAGTAGTAACCTTGTGAATACCAAGAGCATCAAATTGATGTAACTTTGACAAAACTCCAATTTACACAAAATTATGTCTTAAAATGTGTGACATGGGTCTGTCTTCACTTTTCTTAAAGCGAACATGGCATTTTTGTATATTAGTTATCGAGAAAATAAATGGAAAAATGCTCTAATCTTGTAACTAAAAAGATTAAACCATTGGTTTTTCCCATATCTTCACCACCATCATAAGTTCCTTTAATCTGTTTTATACCAAAGTGACATATTTTAAACTGTCCTTGCATGTACATATAGTGTTTTAAACTCATTCACATTTACAGATGCTAAATGACTCATTAAGTCTGATACGCTATACATATATTTTATTTGAATTATTTTGGATTTCTAGATATTGCAACAATTATATTTACATACATAAAGACATATATTCATGCATACAACACCATTAAATAACCACTTTACCCATGCATTCAGATTCTACACACCATTCACATTTTGATTAAATCAGGATTTAATGAATCCATCTAGGTATAATCCGCCATTTAGACAACACTTTTAATTCCCCAATTTAGACATATACTCAAACAGACAAAACCGTTTGATGTGACCCCGAGGGGGGTGGTCTTGAGAGTGGGGGAGAGTGAGTAGGGGGTGGAGAATTACTAGGAGAGGACTCCCCACTTCCTGCCTTGTCCTTGATTTTTAACCATGTTGTTCCCAAAGCTTTTGCAAAATGATCATCCACAGAGTCCATTTTCATGTTCAAGGAGTCCTCCTGTTCGTGATTGATCTTTGACCAAGTGTTCTCACCAAGAGCTTTCTTGAAATGGTCATCTACAGAGCCTGGAAGAAGTCAAAACTAAAAGTCAATGTTCTTTAAATGCTTTTGAAATGGTCATCTACAGAACCTGGAAGAAGTCAAAACTAAAAGTCAATGTTCTTTAAATGCTTTTGAAATTGTCATCTACAGAACCTGGAAGAAGTCAAAACTAAAAGTCAATGTTCTTTAAATGCTTTTGAAATGGTCATCTACAGAACCTGGAACAAGTCAAAACTCAATATCAATGTTTTTTAAATGTTTCCACAAATATATACATTTGTCACGTTGAAGCTTCATCCAAATACAATGCTTCATTTTGATTGGTTAATCAGAACTATTCCAACTTTATCAATACTACATCAATTCACAAACAGTGAATTATTATGCTAGGTCTATTATGATCTTTATTTTAAATATTATGTTCACTATTGTATTCTCTATTCTAAAGAGCTTTATAAAAGAAATAAAAGATGGAATGTTTAAAATGTCTCTGTCAGGTCAAATAGATGTCACTATACATGTATGTAATAATATGTAAAAATATGATTTTTTATGATGTAAAATAATAGCTGTCATAAAATATTTGAGTATCATTACAGAATTAAAAAAGTAAAATGAACTACTATGAGACACATGCACTTTTAAAAACAAGCATTTTGATATCAAAGAAGGTATTAGGGGTAGTGTATTAGGAATCCTTGCATTTTTACACCAAATAACTTATTTCAACCGATTCCAAGCTTTATGAACATGAGTATATAAAAGAACATACCTGATATTGAAACTTGGTGTAGTGAGGGTGATGTGACTGATGTGGGGGAGGGGGTACGTCCTGAGGGGGTTGGGGAGGAAGGTTTGGAGCGTATCTCAGTGTAACGTGCCCCTAGTGATCTCCTAAAATGCTCCTCTATGTCCGGGTCACAGAACTCGACTGAAATCAAAATAAGAATCATGAAATATGTAATTTGTAGAATTGTGAAAACTACAATTAATAAATCAGAACACTAGGTAAGTAACAATAGAAAAATCGCTCGAATTAAACTTAAATATTCATCAATCTCAATACAAGTCGGTAAAAACATGAAAAATTATATATTTACAAATAAACTGAAAATCATCATCAATTGAAAATAAAAGGCCAACTATAAAAGTACATCAGTCAAGGAATGTGGCTGCTAACCTAGACATGAACTGAAATCTGATTCTTTACAATAAATATTTTTTAAGAATGCCCAAGTATGACAACTAATGAAACCGATACTTGTACTTCTTTTTGTTAAGATGTTTAAATATTGCATGAAGACCACCAGTTTAAATAGATATCATTTATTATTCCATAAATAAACAACAAAAAACTTTCTCTAATTTTATATTTTTCAAACCATGACAATATGATGACTTAAAGGGTTACAAAAGATCAAAACATTCCCATTAGGCATTTTATAGGCATCAAGTTATTTTAAAAGAGTCAATTATTTTGATGTATTACCCATAGGGTCAAGGTCAAAATTTACTGTACATGTTTTTTATAGCATTCCTCACCCTAACTTTTCACCTTTCAGAGGGACATTTAGAAAGTCTGCCATGGTAAATTGGCATGGGGAAGCAAGATGTATCACCCCCTTATTCAAGAGGATATTATCTCCTTGCAGAGATTTGAGGAAACAACAGTATTTTGCACCTGAGAGGAGATAACAAAGATTCCAATAGAGTGACTCACAGGCTCAAAATCCAGGAGGAAATCTTCAAACATATCAAATTTAATAAAGTTCTTCTGAATAAATCGAATTGTAATTAGGCCTAATGTTTACCGCCTACAGGTCAAGTTAGCCCTTATTAAAAGTCAAAGTGCAAAATATATTATGATTGATTTATAATTTGTGCAAATATGCTACTAATTGATATTAATACAGAGACACTAAGTGAGGTTGTTTACAGATTGTATAAAATTATAAAGGAACCATTTTACTTAAAAGCACTAGCGATTTTTCTTTTATCAATAAATCACAAATGAGAAAACAAATACTATGTTACGCAATCAAAGTCTTAATGAAATCAATACAAGTAGGAGGTAGGTATAAGAGCCTAAGTTAGTTCAGTCTTCCTCAATTAGAGTTCCTCTACTAGATGGTTATTTTAGTTAGTTTTACTTGGCAAGTAAACAAGATACAGACAGCTTTATTTAAAGCATGTGACATATTTCTCACTTTTCTTTAGCCAAAGTTATTTAAGAGTGGGTGGGTTTATATTATAACCACCAAAATATGCAGCACCCTCAATTCATAGTTCTATTCAAAATGGAATTTACAACTCAAAAGGTCATTACTTCTGAAGGGTTAAGATTTATGCTTGTTAAAAAAATATGCAAAAATGCGAAGAAAGTGTAGGAAATGTGGAAAGCCCAGCCCTACCTGATGTGATTCCCCGAGAGGTATTAATTGTGATGTCGTCTTTCAGTGGCGCACATGTGATCACAGATTTCCGATGATTTTTTTCACTTTGAGAATGTGTATCAGTATTACTATTGGTCTGCATGTTCTGCATGCTCAGGTTTAGAGGACCAGTTGGACTAAGGGCCTCAGGACTCAGTGGTGGGGTATCGTTGCTATGGCGCCTGTGTGATGTCACTGTGGTTGTCATGGTAGCTGTTGGGAGTGTTAGGTAAGATGTAGTGGCTAAAGGTGGTGGTGGTAGATAGCTAGGGTTGACATACAGTCTAGATGACTGTGGCAATGCTTGAGGCGCAGTTGGCTGATAGCCATCGGGAAATGTGGTAAATTGCCTGAAAATACAAAAAATTGCATATTATACATCCAAAATGTATTGCATTCAGGCTGTTCACATGAACATGACATGGGAAAATATTTCAAAATATTTTGTGCAAATTCTTTTCCCTGGACAAAATATACAAAGTTTTGCACAATTTACACGAATATGACAGTAATTTAAGTTGCTCAAGTTACTGTTTCATTATATTTTAAATGACTTAATTCAACATGACAAATGTAATTGAACTTCTCCATCAATCATTTCAAACTGCCCCACCCTAAGAAAGATCAAGACGACACAAGAGGTCTTCACCCCACAAATACCTTGCCTGTTATGGTATCTTTACACAATAAGCTAATACCCCTTGATCCAATCAAAACCATATGACAATAACCAACCAATCAAAACATGAGAAAATTGTATCAAGTCCCGAGTATTATGGGATTGATGTGGCACACCTGGAATTTGTAAATGATCATGAGGCTATCAGTAGGCAGGTTGATTACTAAGAGATTATCAGGGAGCAGGTGGAAGAATGCTGCAGCAGAAAATGGTATCCAAGGAATGCCTGGGAACGCAAGAAACAAAAAATGTACGTAAGCAAGCAAGCATTTCTGACATCATCATTTAGACGTCAGAGATGTGTATCACTATCAGTTAAACCTGATAGATAATGAGAGAAAATGATGAACAGTTTACAGACAAACAACATACCAAGGTTGAACAGGAAAAGCAAATAGAAATATTCGTCATATTTAAGCAGATGTAGGATTGTATGCAACACCTGAGACTTTGATTACTATAGGGGGAGTGGGTTGAGAACTAGGGAGAGGGGGGGGGGGGGGTGAGAAGAAGAGGGGGGAGAACTAGGGGGAACAAAGTGAATTCTTAAGCTTCCTCATCCTAGCAATAGTCAAATAAGACTTCCAGCAATACAGAGGTTGCACAAACCAAATTATTAAACTACAATTTTACAACACCAATGCTGCATATTTTTAAGAATCCTGCAGTTTTCCAGTCTGTGTGGGGTAAAGAACATGATGTGAAAGATTTTCACACATAAGAACATGATAAGCATAGTGTTTTCAATCTAGCTATGAGCCACTTATTCCTTTCAACATCAGGAATTCCAATATTAAAATCTTTCACACATTCAGTGATAAGATACTCCGCAAAGGATAATTAGTGAACTGAGCTTAACAGTGAGGAGGTTAAAAGTCTGCTGAAAAACCACATATCATGATTCATACACTCAATGGTACCCTTTGAAAAGTATAATATCATCTATACTCTTCAAATTAGAGAAATTCTTGAATTTTTATATCTACTCAGTAGCCTAAAAATCAGTTTAGCTATAATTCTTTTTATAATCAAACTCTCAAAAACCCTATAAAAGCTGCATTTGAGGTTGTTAAGATCAGGATTAAAACTGTGAAATAGACAAAAGGTAGTATAACTGACTGGTAGTGCTTGACTGAAACTTAGTGGGTAATTACTTCAGTTATTTCCCTTATCTGCCGACTTCAATCACTTCAATCTAACACATGAAAGAATGCCTGGCTCGCTGACTGGATGTATATTACGTGAGGAATGCAACATAAAGGAAAAGTCAGGGGTACCTGACCTATTGTTGCAACCAGTGAGAGGAAATATATTTTCTTGACACCTAAAGGAAAGCACTTGACCATTACTATGAAGAGGCTTGCCAGAGCTGTTAAATGAAGGGAAAGCTCTTAACTCTTTTAAAGACTCCTCTTAAAGTTGAACTTTGCCTCAGTTTTAAAATCTTAAACAAGGCATTACATACAAAATGTCACTACCTACCATTTGCTACCATGCCAAACACCAACCAATGAATGCTGAATGACCAACCACCATCCAAAGAAAAGTTGGAGACCATAACAATGGAGAGGTTAAGCTAACGATGTTTTTCACAACGTAACCGTGAACGCAAAGGTACAAAAATTAACAAAGGAATGTATCGAGCGCTCATAGTTTTATGCGCGCTTAGTCTACTTCAGATACTCTTTCAGCTTCAGAGTTTCGGGTTTAGAACGGGAGATTTGAAATTTTTACGTTGGGTCAACAGGAACCATTTTACTCGTGTCTATTGAACACTATGCTGTCAATTTTGATTTCGATGCACAGTTGAATTCTTGCTGAACACGATGATGTATGTCATGCATGATTTAGCGCCAAAAATCTTACGAAACGAGCTCATTTAAAATATGTATTACAAAACCAGCTATAAAACCGCATCAATGACATACTATAGAATCATTACACGCTATGGTGTAGTCTAAACAAACACTGGATTTGAACGGCTATTTATATGAGAAGGCTACATGAATTTGTATATGGTCGAGTGATACGTACAGGTTCAGTTTCAATTATATATGCAAAGCTTAACCTCTCCACTATGTCACCACTTGTGTTGGTGATGAAATAGAATTAGATAAAAAAAATTAATTTTCTTTAAAAAATTAATTTTCTTTAAAATACAAGAATTCTTTTCTTATTTTTATGCAAGTTTTCTTGTAGGAAAATTAAACCACTTTTTGTTGAAGAACGATTGCCTCTTTGCAGACCTTTGAGACTGATCTTTGTAAAAAGGATGATAAAAACTGTTCTTTAATCCAGATTAAAGAAGCTAATGATATCATGTACGATACATCTCAATAACGAGGAAATGCCACCAGTGAAACCACAAAATCTGCATTGCAACCTCACATAGGTCAACATATCCCATGTGATGATCGTGATGATGAGTGACTAAATGTTTGTGGCCCTGAAGCACAACATTCTGAAACTCAATACATCTTACGATTTTTGGCTTACACTTACGTTTGTGTGCCGGCTGTTTGTGTTCCAGCGCATTTCTTGATATTAAATTGTTGCGTTCTCTCGGGATCAAAATTGAGAGATTGCGGTAGTTCGGTTCTTCCTATATGTCTCTGATATTTGTACATCTTCGTTGGAAGGTGCTTGGTTGGTGAAGATCTGGCGTCTAAAAGTGCTTGTTGCTTCATGGCTGCCTCTCCTGAAAGTACAGAAAATAAAGACACTTTAAAAAACACATAAAAACATTTGAATCTAAATTTTGAAGAAACATATTTTCAAAGTTTACATTACTTCACCCTTTTCATGGTATTATTAATATGTACATTTTGTTTTTTCCTTTTTAACATTTTGGCTTGCTCAGTCTGTTTAAAAATGCAGGGTGTCTTGCTATTAACAATTTGCATACATATCATTTATAGGGATTTAATTTGTTGAAATTTGTAGATTGCCATGCCTCTTTGTTTCTGTATTCAAATTAGAATTGTATCATCCCAAATATCATTTTTGTAAGATAATTGTATTATTGATCATTTAAAAGAATGTTTATTTTATATTACATGAACCTGATCATGCAAAGTTGCCTGCTTGATATTAATTTAACCATAAGCTATATATAACAAAACTGGTTAGCCGAATTTAATCAAGTACAACATGCAATCTTAAGGGGCCAAAAATGAATAATACAAGCTGATAAAATATAACATAAAACAACAAAAATCCATAAGTTAAATACCAAATGGAATTGGCATGCAAACATCATAATAAATGTTTGCTAAAGAGAATCTTGTTTCAACCCTGAGGCTCAGCACCTATTCTCTCTGATCAGGTCAAATGCATATATAGTTTTGATATTGATAAAATTGAGTGTAGGTGAAGCTTTCTAAATCAAGCTTTTGAAAAAAGGTTATCTGGTTTTTTTGTGAAATCAATTACATTATATACACTAGTAACAAAACTTTATTTGACAATGATCAAAATTGAAGAAATAAATATTGCCAGTTTTCATTAATACAGAAAAACCTGTCAAATTTGAATGCCATTTGGGATGAGTCTAAAGTATTCAGAATAAGAAGTATTCACATTTCAAGGTGTCTTTAACAAGGGACTTAGTATGGGAAATTACAAAATTGGGACTGATAGAAAGTGTTCATATTGAGAGGTGTTCGCAATACAGAGGTGTTCAGATAAAATAGACAGGTTTTACTGTTATCTACTTAACAAAGCAAATGCCAACTGCTAATCTTTGTGCTATTTTATCAATACTCAGGAAAACTGAAAAGTAATATATGTGTTAATGAGCATATCCTGGAAATAAGATTAGCAACGTTTCAATTAACATCTAAATTCTAAATGCTAACTTTTCTTAATCGGAATCTCAAGTACTCTCCAATCTCATAACTTTAACTATGCTAGTCTACCATTTATATTTTTAAAGTACATAAATAAATAAATGATAATTAAGATAGTATCTTTGTATTGAAAATGACTTTTTTGTTCACACACATTCCTCCTCTTACTCCAAGCATATAGAACTTGGCAAAGACCCACATTGTCCATGATTTATGGCATAAACAAACATAAACACCTTTTTCCAATGTTTGTCCAACTAGGAAATAAAGTTATATGGCTACATCCTTCTTGAGATACAGATAGATATACAAAATGTAAATACTTCATATTTTGGCAGAAATTTTCATTGGATCAACATCAAAAATTTACCACCTAGGTTGCAAGCTAAACATATACATGTACTTGAAAATGACATCAAGTTGATTTTGGGGGCTGACAATACTGGTTTTTCAAAATAAGACGTTATAATCAATAAATACTTAATAATTGTCTATATCAAAAATGTAAATAAAAACTTACTGCATAAAAGACAGGCACATCCATATTGCGTTCCCCAGATATCAAATGGGAATGGCATAAAATTATAAAACAATGCCATTTCGGATCTGATTCACACGTAATATATCGTCCTAATCTAGTATATATGCACTTAATGATAGTTTGCTTCATCCAATCACTGCTATAGATAGTTTTTCAAAATGAACATATAGTTTTCTCTCTATTTGACAGCCTTCCTCTTTTTGGAATGTGATAATACCAATGCAGTTGTATTAACATGCAAATAGCACAGCCAATAAAATCCTGATATGTTCTTCAAATAGGCTGTCTCTGATAAACTAAAATGAGATCATACACGTAGCGTTACTATTTCTAGATCGCAAAAACAACTAAATGCCTGGCCCTCTTAGACACTTGTTTTAACTTCCTTGGGTCATAGTTTTTGATGAATAGTACTTTAAAAAATTCTGGTTAACCACAATATTTAAGTGCACACTTTCCTAGTTACTAGTCCACAGCTTAAGAAAAACTCTTTACTTAGCATAATCATAAACCTCAATTCCCAATCAGTTACTAAAATAGCTCGATGATGACAAATCTTGGTCAGCTCCTAGTTTCTTATCACAGTTTTACAGACAATTGCTAATCCCCACACTTCCTTATAAACAATAATCTTTAACAAAGCAAGATCACATCAAACACCGGAAACTTCAATTAAGGTGCTGACATCTGTCACTTTTTGTTGTTTTTAGGATTCACAACAAAAAATCCTTCCTGTTTCTCTCTTAGATATCCTAATTTTTCGCCAGAACATCCTCTGCGTGCCTATGTTTTTATTAATTTTTTATTTTCGCGAAATCCAACTGAATCATATATCCAGATTTATCTTTTTCTCATTTCCTATGTTAAACAAATAGTCAATGTATTGTAATGATCACTTAAAGTATTAAACAGTGGAAGTATACTTATGATGCATTTATTTTAATAATATATCTAATTTTGATTGATATCTTAAAAAGGCACTACCCTTCCAAAGTTCAGTAAATATTGTTTACATTCTAACAAGTGTTAAATATGAAGCCCAATCAATTTAAGTCAACTTTACTCTATATTGATATGATAAGAAAATGCATAAATTCAATTAAGAATTTAAAATCAATCATTTGAATAAAATGTATTTCCGATTTCCTTTTGAGGGGTATCCTGTGATGGACATTTTTGAAGATTATATGCATACGTTAGCATCTGTTTCTCATATATTAAAGTAAACAATGCAACTTTTTTATTTATAAACAGGCATGTTTCTCATTAAGACTTAAAGCAAAAGAAAACCAGCATTCATGTTTTAAAGATTAGTTGAGTGATTGAGAAATACTAACCAATTAAATAGACTCAGTGGGGAGATCCCAATATGCGGTTTCAAAGCAGCGTACCTGGTTGGTCCATAATCTCACTGCCTGACCATCTCAAAATGAACATGTGTGATGATTGGTTTGTTTTTTTGCAAATGTTTCAAATAAAAATGTTTGCAGACTCCAAAACATAATCCAATTTTTCATCATTTTTATACTTTTATTGTATTTCCGTGTCTTATTGACCTACTAGAAATTAATTAATTTACAAAGGCTAGTATTTCACTCAAAGGAATGGGCCATGATTGAGAAATTATACTTGATCTCTCACATTATAACACTGGAAATTATAAACACTTTCAGATGGTGTTCACACAAAAGGCAGACTTCATTGACTCTACTTGTAGTTTTAGCAATGTCTATAATGCTGCAACCTATAGGCGAATCTTAAGATTATATTCTTGAATTACCAACACTCCTGGCATGTACCCTTACAAAATACTTTCAGAAATTAATAAATACTATTTCGCTTAGTGACATGCAAATACTCTACATATTAAAACCTGGAGGCAATTTCTTAAATAAAATGTAATTATTGCTTATGAAGATTCCGCAAGGGCGCTCTTACCAGGACAGGACTTTTTGTGCATATATAGATTTTTTGTTGTTACAACACAACATTTTGGAAAGGCCAATTTTGGTGTTGGGAATCAATTTGGGAGAAATGAAAACATTTAGATTCAATGAGGATATTATGAGTTATTTAGGCCTCTTTTCTAATGCCGAGACCAGTTACAAAAAGTCCTGTCTTTTTGAAGAGGCAAATATTTTTGGCCCAATTAGGGGAGGGGGAGGCAAGGGGACTGTCTAAAACCAAATTTATTAGTATGAGAAATCTGTCATAGTTACAAATAACATTTTATGTAATTTTTCCAAAAAACAATTAAAATAAATATACAGTAGAACCTGTATAAGTAGAAAACCTTTGGTACTTAAAAAAAAGTGTTCCACTTGGGAGGTGTTCCACTTCTAGAGGTGTTCCATTTTACAGTTTTTTTTACATTACTCTACTGTTGATGTAACCCATGTTCTCAGAAATTAAAAATAGCCCATGGGGGGGGGGGGGTAGACTGATAGAGACAAAGGCAAGGCTATGTACTTCATTTGGATATATGAGACATCTATTATCATCGCTTTCTAGTGTACATCTAAAATAAAACAAATTTCTAACATATCATGCTCATCTGGACAAATACCAATTAACAGATGTACTGTTTAATAATTGTACATGCAATACAATATTTTCTACAATAGTTGTAACTAAATACAATGTTCTCTGTTTTCACTTACCTGACATAAGCAAATGTGCCCAGTTTGAAGTTCCTAATAATGGCGTCAACTCCTTCATCCTTATGAAATTCTCAATAAAAACTAAATATGAAAATGTGAATGTCTTTACTGTCTTTATCAGAGAAGTCTTCTGAGGTTATACATACAAGAGATAAAAGAGTTGTAACCTAATTCAATCCCTTCTTGGATTACCAGGTGAATGCAGAGACCAAACTTTACCAAGCTTTGCAAATATCTTTATTCCGTCTTATTATCTCTTTTCATCCACCTTGATCTATTATTCTCACATATGGACACAAGTATGTTCTCGTGTCCTGATTTCAGTGAATCTTTGGCTCGTTTCTAACTACATGCTAATATAAAGTGAATAAGAGCTACACAGAAAGGGCAATAAGCTATCACACAAATATGCGTGGAATGTACACTATAGAGGCATGTTGGGAAAGATAAGTGAGGTTGGAGTTTATACCATAACCAATGAAAACCATGTGTATATCTAATGTCCAATCAGAATTGAGGGTCAGAGGTCAGGCTAAGGTATGCACACTTTCATTTTTGATGTCTAGATTAATATACAAGGTTTCAGACTTTCTCTTACAAATAATTATTCTGTATTTTGGGTTTGGCATATTTTGTAAAGGGTTTTTCTTCTGATTAAAAGCATCCACCAATCTTAATTGACTTACTTGTGGTTAATTTAGATAACTCAAGATGTATATTTTTACAATTTATGACAATGGTTAACAACAATATATAAATTTGAAGATAACATAAAAGATATTAAACTATCAGTTTGGTCTGTTTTGAATTAGCGCTAAAGATGTCCCTTTTACTAATGATGAGATAACTTATATCCCAGGACTTATATCCAACAAAATTACATAGAATGTTATGGATGGAATTTAATACACATAAAACCTAGTTTTTTATGAATTGTTTACATTTTATATTGAACATTATTTTGACTGGAGTAGTGAAAGGACCCGCATAGTTGGCATACCTTTTAGGGCAAACCGTATTGTTGACTAAATGTCAACCAAAGTTTATTTATCATACCATAACAACATTCTTGCAGCGAAAATTACCATGATTAAAATCAACAGTTGTGATGGTTTGTTTCTACATGAATGAGGTTAGAAAAAATATTAAATTGATTTGATCAAAATCTATGTTTGAAGATATTTCACCTTGACATATAAGATGCAATTATTTTACTAAATATGCATGCAAATAGTCATTCTTTTTCTTGTAGAAACTCTCAGTTTCACTTACCTGTTTTCTATAAGCCATATATGAAAGCAAGGAACTTCCTAGAATTTATCCTCAAAAATAATTTCAATCTGCGTACAAAAAGTTATTCCAAATTCTAGGAAAACTTACCTTAAACAGTAAGGTCCAAAGTTATAACTTAACTGAACTAGTAATCATTCAATCCTAATTATATAAAGCTTCAAACATTATTTACATATTAAACATACATTTAATCGCAAGGTAGCATATGTACAGTTTACATAACATTTAAGGAATTTCATTGACCAAACATTACAACAATCCCGATAACAGACAGTCATATCCGTTAAGATTTCCTAATTAATGAACAATATGTGTATATTGTACAGTAAAACCTGTCTTAGTGAACACCTCTCTCTAGTGAACACCTGTCCCTAGTGGACACCCTTCCTACGCACATAGTCCACTGACTTCTGTATAAATTACCCTCTCTCTAGTGAACACCTACCTACAGTGAACGTTTTTTCTTGGCAAAAAAATGTTCACTATACACAAGTTTTACTGTAGTTATATAAATATATACTACAGCATACATGTGTGTACATTCCAGTATTCTATTGCATAAGTTCATGACAAATGTAAGAAATTCCATTCCAGTTGTATAAGTTTCTCACACATTTAGTCATGTAATACTATGCAATGCAATTTTTATATGAAAATATCTGCCTCCAGGAAACCTATATGTGATATATGTCCAAGGCAGCAATCACCCACCCTGGTTGGAATCTTTGAGACACACACCTCAATGTATTTCAGAGCAAAATGCTCTAAGATTAATTCAATGTGCAACATGATTTTATGCCCATAGACATTGACTGCTCATAGACATCAACCAGAGTTATTTTTTATTATTTTTTAACATGAAGGAAGATGAACTTGTTTGAAGTAACTGATATTTGAATCAGTATTAAGACTATCCAGGATAATTATAAGAAGCCTTCGTTAAACATATTCAAAATATGGAAAAACGATAATCTGAGTATAAGACGTTTGTGCATTTTTCAATAACTCTGTATTGGATCATAATAGGCTTCTAACTAAAATAGTGCAGAAGTATGGCTGACATTGTCATTGCACGAGGGGAAAGAGTACCCGTGTATATACAACCTACCGCCGAGCAAAGACCCGAAGATGTCTGAAAATGTAGGGGGTGAGTTATAAACTTTTGTTTATATCTTGAATTTCTCAATATGAAAAACAGATAAAACACAGAATTTTGTGTAACTGATAAAGTTATTGTTCCAGGCACTAATGTTTGCAAAATAATGAGTACTTAGTGCAATGTTTACTATCCAATCGCTAAATTCAACTTTTAAATATTTGAATGATGATTTACATCTTGAATAAGTAACAACCATGGCAGTCTTTACTTCATTCGATTCAAAGATACAATAGGTGTAAATGTATCATATTTATTTCACTGCCATACGTTGCATATCATTGAAATCACCGGTGAAAGTTGAAAATGAAAGACCCGACTATGTCACGAGTACTATTATATAGGACCCGAAGCTACCACCGAGCTATTCCGACTATACCGTGAGTAGAACCCGATGAGGTAGTGAGTAAGCTTTCGAATGAGCATATAATATCATGACGATATCACAAACATTCCTTTTTATTTATCATATACTCCTGGCACTGGGATATAATATAATATGATATAATTCCCGCAGCACTATACGTCAACGTCTGTTTCCGGCAAAGTTCTTTAAAACATTGAATTCATGCTTACACTTGAATCACCATATTTCCTATGTGTCTATGGTAAGAGTGCAACCCAAAAACATTTAATTTTGCATTGCAAGCGCCATTCTACTCAAAGAACACAACTTGAAGAATCCCAAGCTTCACAAGCTTCATATCCTCGAAACGAAAATTACCGTGATCTTTCTTTGATAATACAATACCATAGTCAAAAACATTGTAAATCTATTTTTGCCATTTAACTCAGGCACATTCACTTTAATACTCAGTAATGGATGGTGCTGACTGAAGTGGACCACAAAGTCATCCATCTCGTGTGATTTATAACTACAGTGGAAGCATTTGTACCGAGGACCTGAAATACAATGTTTCGATGTGCAGTGGTAACTGGTGATAGCCATATTTTTTCAGTTTCATTTATTGTTCACAACAAAATGATTCACATGAATGATGCAGATTGTATGTTTATTATTTTTTCATCAGCACGTCATAAACTCGACGATATAATCGGATCTCAACAGATTTTACTCAAGTAATGTTCGGATTCTGAGATCCTTTACTCAAGATATTTTCGGATCTTTATAATATTACTCGTCGATCACATCGGGTCCGATGTCCGATAACCTCGGATCTTTTAGGACAAAGTTTAAGTGAAGATTTTGCTGTTCAAAAGTGCTATTTTGACCTAATATTTTGACACTTAATATATTATGCATATGCACATCAATTTACCGACCCAAGTATGTCTTATGTATGGCTATTATCAATTAAAGCGAGTATGAATGAGAAAAACAAATCGAAAACCATAATACGTTTACCTTATCTCTTAATTTGGACATAAAAATATATTTCAACTATAATTCTAGGCCAATTGCGCCTGCTAGAACATCTTAGTAACAACTCTAACCATCCAAAGGAATTGTTAGTGACATTATATTACCTTTATTGTCCATTTTCCAACGAGATGACATTATCAAACATTTGCTCGGCGGTATGTGCGTGTCTTGCTCGGCGGTAGGTTGTATATACACGGGTACTCTTTCCCCTCGTGTCATTGGATGTGCTGGTTCATTTTATCTGTGAATAAGCAGCTTTTGAGTGAAAAATAAATTATGTGAAAATCTTGAAATTTCTTGTTAAACCGACCTGCTCCTAGACACTGACCAAATTAGGTAATGACATCTCATGTGTATATCAAATTACAAAATTATGAATATAAATAAACGATAACATTAAAAATTATACCTTTTTGGATCGAATGACTTGAATACATATTCCTGGTCAGATAAGGACGACGTCTTTTATGTTTTTTGCCTTTAGTGTCCTCTTCAAATTATTAGATTGCGATATAAAAATGTGCTTCTTATCCTTGTATATGTGACTGCTATATTTTTCCAATGTAAGTTAATGTTCAAATTCAATGATTATATCCCATTATCCGACTTAAAATTCATTACATAACACACCAGCCAAAATAATATGAATGTCAAATATATATACTCCATAAAATGTACATTAAACAGATTGGAACTTTGCTAAACTATTTACGAACTGATACTGCCTCTCTATCATGAAGTTCCGCTAACTAGTGGCCAATTAGCATTCCTGGGATGTCCTGCGAGTTTTTCTGGCCTGATGGGAGTTCTATGGAATGCATATAGGCCACACGAACAGGCATTTAACTGCCGTTTAACAATAGGGCTAGACACACCTGTTGGTAACATACCATAATTTTATGACATATTAATGAGTTGCGTCTGAGGATTTCTATTTTTAGTCTAAACTTTTTTGATTTGTATTTTATCTTACTAATAATGTTCAAATACCTTAAAATAAACAACAGCATTTCTTTGATTTTCCTCAATTCTAATTTGATCAAATTTGATGAAATACTCATACATATAAAATTCATAGAACGAATATCTGGCCATTTATTAGACTCCAGATTGAAAATCTGGAGTCTATTGTTTTTGCCTGTTTTCTTATTATTATTATTCTTCTTTCTTTCTTCCTCCTAACAGATTTTCTCTTCAACTATAACATCTTACTTAGTCCAACCTACATGGTTGACTAGGGAATGTATCTGGCTTTCTGGGAAATTAGGTCAAATTTTTATCTAGGTCATAGGTCAAGAACTAGGTCAAATCTTGGATTTTCATTAATTCACCACTTTTCTCAGTCGTCTTTCAATATTTTCGCTCCGGTTTTTTTTCATCATGTTCCTTGGAAAAAACGCTAATTCCGTAAGGCAAATCGTTTTTTGATTACTCTTACCGATTTTGAGATATTGCGTCCGAAAAGTAGGTCAGAACAAAAAACTCTCCAAATTCAACATGTGAGTTATGAAATAAGTGTAGAATGATCTCAGGAATCCGAATCTGCAAACCAAATTTGGATCGGACTTCCGGTTCGGAAGTTATGGCGTTTTGAAAGCTCAAAAATCACT